GCGGAACATAATGATGGTTGACTTGTGAGCGTAGCTGACCATTTGAGTTGCGAAGATAGTAGAGAGAGTTTTGGAGGAGAGAAATGTCCCAGAATGATTTTTTTTGACAGGTAACGGTATGTGGACCACTCTCCCCCTCATGACGATCCGATGACTCGGGGCGTCATGCCTTTATTCTTTTATTCTGCGGAAATAAAACAGGAAAAACAAGCAGAATGTAAAGAAGATAACGTAGCCCCCCGGGGTCATGTAGATGCCCGTTATCATCACTATAGAGTTAAACTCTGATGTGATGGCCTGAAAATGATGGTGATTCTTATGTTGCATCAGCAGGACTTCCTTCCAATCATTGGTCTACATCTGTGATAGATGAGCCCTATGAAAGTTCTCACGGGTCATGTAGACCTGCAACTGACTCAAAAAGTGCGTCTGTGTCCTAGAAAATTTCAAAACATTTGGGAGTGAGTAACTAGACACGACGTGATCAATGAAAGTTCAGTGGCATGGGGCTGAGGCCACTGTAGTCAGTATCACTTGCCTAGGAAGGAGACAGTAATGAGAGATGTGGTTCCCCGTGAAATGTGATTAAACACTTGTCTGTTGAGAGACAAGTGAGTGGTCTTGGGTAGGGTTGTGCATGCCCCGTTTGGACAAAATGCAGCGACTTCTACCCGGGATCTGAATAAATTCAGTCCTGAACCTATGGGGATAGTCCAGAGTATTTGAGTGGCTAGGAGTAAATGTTCAATGGATAATAGGCAGTTGAGGTAGCAGACTTATTAGTGATAATTGTTTTCTTGCTCACTTGAGCCTTCTGCTTCCTAATGCTCATAATATTCACTCACTCACTTGGTCACTCACTCACTCACTTACGCTCGGCTTTGTCCCTTGGGTAGGCTTAGTTGGGTTTACTAAGTCATAGGGACATGTTCTCTCATTACTTTCTTCATTGTCTCTTTGTACTCCCCCTCAACTAGAGCACTCGGTATGCTTAGTCATTGTTAGGTACCGAGGAGGATAACATTGAACACTCCCCCTAAAATGTTGCATCCGTTGAGAGATTACAATCTCGAGTTTTAAATCTCGAGATTTCAATCTCGAGGTTTAAATTTCGAGATCTTAATCTTGAGTTTGCCTCGAAGAATAATGACGAAATCCACCTGCAAAACACACCTACAGTCTTCGAAATCTTCATAATTTCAAAATGTTTGGAACATCGAAAACTTTGGAGTTTCGAAAAGCTCAAAAAATCGAAAACATGTTGTTTGAAAAACATCAGAACATCGAAAACTTCTAAAAACTTTGAAAAACAGAGATTCATCCAAAAATCCTATAATGTAAAGCATCGAAGTGGTCTGAACTGGAAAGATATCAAGTTTAGAAGAAATAAGTGATTCAAGAAACTCCAAACTTTGAAAAATTCAAAACATCGAGAAATTTTGAAAATCTCGAAATCTTGAGAATGTCGAGATCCTAAACATCGAGATCCCAAATGTCGAAATCCCAAAACTCGAAATTCCAAAACTCGAGGTTTCAAAACTCGAGATTTCAAAACTCGAGGTTTCAAAACTCGAGATTTCAAAACTCGAGATGAGAAATTCGAGGCCCTAAATGTCGAGATCCTGCAAAATGAAAACTTCGATTTTTGAAAATCCGAAAACTGTTTTGAATAGCCCTGAAGGTCGAGATTCTCCTGTATCAGTTTCAAGTCAAAATCATTTTTGCAGCAGTGAAAAACAAGAATCTCGAGATCTCAAATCGAAAACAGAGATATGCTGCTGGATCGGTTTTGAAAGGCGATTCCAACAGTATAATATTTACAGATTTTCGTTCACAAACAAGATAACAGGAGCAAATCTCTATATCAAAGAAAAAGAGAAGAAAAGCAGAGGAGTTCTTCGTAAGATCAGAAAATTCGCAGATAGATTTAACCTGTTTCATGCCTCGGCTCTGATACCAATTGATAAACCCAAATATTTAACAATCAAACAACCATAACAAGAAGAATAAGTAGATAGAAAGATATCGAGAAGATTAAAATCGAATCTGGTATACCGTGTGAAACCCCGCTGCTCTCCCTGGAGAAGGAGAGCAGCGGGAACCCTGCTCTCTCTCTATCTTGCCTCTGCGTCTCTAAAGCCTCTCTCGATTGTTAGGGTTCCCGTAAGTTAGCCTCCTTTTATAGGAGAAGTTGGCTAACTTACGGGTTACAAGGAAGCTAACGGGCTGATACACATTTGTGGCCCGTATTACACGTTTAATTAATAACTACACAAATAAAAAGATATTTAATTAGATTGGACACCATAAAATATTCCCAACAAATTTCTTTTCTTTGTTAATAGAAAGTCATGTTGCTAGGTAACATTAAAAGTATTATGTACAGAATGAAAGAAGCATGATGTACTGGCCCAGAATGGATCAAGGACATTGACCCATGTGATGAATGTCTGGAGTTCTACTATGTTCTGGAGTTCTACTATGTTCTGTATTTGATGGTGGGTACAGATTTTAGTACTCCATAGTAAAGATTGGTTAAATAATACTACGTACATTACTTAGAATAATACACACTCAGTGGGTAAATAATACATTACTCCACGTGGATTGGCTCTTTTTGTGGAAGAAAGAAAAAGACGAGGTCAAGAAAAGATGAAAACTTAGAATTGGAGGACCTATATATCTGGCATTAAATTCTTCAGCTAGAGTACTAACCAATGGACATTATAATTACTAACCTCCAGACCTGCAATTTCTAACCCGCAAAAATATCACTCAACGTGCTCTATTTCCTTGCGTTGCAGCAGCTACTGCACATTTTCACTTTTCAGATAGTAATCAAGAAAAGCATAGAAAACTGGACCGGTTTATTACATAGAAAACAGAGGATCGGTTTATATATGGACCTGAATAGAAGAAATTTATCTGTCAGACTGGGGAAAGAACTCGACATTCAGACATTGCTTGCTCCATATTTCAGTTTTAGGTAGACCACCTCCATGTAATGAAGAACATAAAGTTACGTTACAACAACTTGCTACTCCCATAAGACTCATTTGCAATATTTTCAACATATATATACGTATGCTAGAGAATGTACATTATGTGCTCTTTAATGCACAGATTTTATTGAGAAGCTAGAGCAGATAGGCAAAACAAGATGTTGTAATTAACTAGTGATCATGTTAGGAATATTTTATGATGTTCAATCTAATTTAATATCTTTGTATTTATGTAGTTATTAGTTAAACGTGTAATATGGGAGGGTATCAGCCCATTAGATTCTTTGTAATCCATATGTTAGCCAACTTCTCCTATAAAAGGAGGCTAACTTATGGAAACCCTAATTAAGGATTAAGAGGCTTCGAGAGCATAGAGGCGAGATAGAGAGATTAGGTTTGTCGCTGCTCTCCTTCTCGAGGGAGAGCAGCGACCCTTTACACGGTATACCAGATTCGGTTTCATCTCGATATCTTTCTATCTGCTTCTTCTTCATCTGTTATGGTTGTGTGATTGTTTAGAATCAGGGATCATCAATTGGTATCAGAGCCGAGGCGTGAAAAAGGTTGAATCTATCTGCGTTTTTCGAATCTAACGAAGAACTCCTCTGCTTTTCTTTGATATAGAGATTAGCTCCTGTAATCTTGTTTGTGAACAAAAATCTGTAAAAATTATACTGTTGGAATCGCCTTTTTGAAACGATTCTACATCATATCTTCGTTTTCGATTTCTGCAATTTTTTAATTTCGAAGATCTCTACATTTAGATCTCGAGATTCTATATTTAAATGGTTGCAGAAACGATTTCGACTTGAAACTGATACAGGAAGAATCTCAACCTTCAGGGCTTTTCAGAACAGTTTTCAATTTTTCAAAATTCGAAATTTTAATTTTGCAGGATCTCGACATTTTGGACTTACGAAACTTCGAATTTTGGGATTTCGATACTTGAAGATCTCGACATTCTGAAAATTTCGAGATTTTAAGAATTTCTTGATGTTTTGAATTTTTCAAAGCTTGGAGTTTCTTGAAACTCAGAATTTTCGAAACTTTACATTCTTCACAGTTCATCGAAGCTATGGATGGACTCGGGTCCGGGCCGGGTCCGGGTCGGGCCTAGGCCCAGGCGGGCCGGCGGGTCAGAAATGGTGGACCCGGGACCGGCCCGGGTAACCACCGGGTCCGGTCCGGGCCCGGGCCGGGCCGGGCCCATTATATATATATATATATTTTGTTTTCCTCTTCCTAATTAACCCCCCTCCCACCCCCAACCCCCCAAACCACCCCAAATGGCCCAAAATACCCAGCCCAACCCGAAAAGTTAAAAAAATTGAAAAAAAAAATAGTTTTTGGCCCGAACCGGGCCCGGGCCCGGCCGGGTCGGGCCTTGTTTTGGGTGACCCGAGCCCGGACCGGAAAACCCACGGGCCGGGCCTACCCGGACCGGTCACTGACCGGGCCACCGGGTCGGGTCGGGCCGGAACAGTACCGGTCCCGGGCCAGTTCCGGGTCGGGCCACCCGGCCCGAGTCCATCCCTAATCGAAGCTTTACATTATAGGATATTTGGATGATTCCCTGCTTATTAAAGTTTTAAGAAAATATATTAAATGGGACTAAAACATGGTTAAAACTCCAAAATAGGACTTCAAGTTTTAAATTTCCTAAATGGAACTCCACATTAAAAAGTGGAAGTGATAGGACGAGTCACTCAACGCCTTATATCACTCTGTATCTTCATATTTGACTAATCTAACTCATTCCAATGTTTGGGACTGCATCATATGTTATAAGTGTGACTTATTACCCAAATGGCTTGTTTTCTGCTAAAATCCAAATTAGTCTTAGACTCATAGGTAAAACACACAGATTCCTCGCTTCATCAGTACTCATGAAATAAAGTACGTAGTATGTTTTTTAAAAGTAATTCGTCAACCAAACTATTTACCTGGACTGGTGACAATTTTGTTAAGAGGAATTTCAACAATTGAGGTCATTATTAGGTTAGTGACCACATATAACATTGTAAGACTACATAAATCAAAATTGGGACAAGATTGTTTCTGCTTCCTAAATAATACGGAGTAAAAAATTGCAAAAGGGCTTCGTTGTGAAGCACAGTATAATCCCCATATCACTCATGTTCATTGCACTAGGGCTTGTGTAACTTCCTCTGCCGTGTACTCAGCACAGGGAGATGCCTATTTGGTGACGACATCATGACATCGGCTGCAAAGTGAAGGATGATCATCAAAGGAACCTAATTGAGGTGAATAGTTCCAGCATCTTTCACATTTCTCTCCCTTTGCCGGGGAGACGCCAATCCAGACTTTACTTCCTCCTTGAATAACATACTCTCCTGTGTATGGTATTCCTTCAATCTGTTCATCTTCCATAGATGAAAGGACCTCCACCTGCCAACCACAATTTTTGAAAATGTGTTCATGATTTTTCAATACGAAATGGAACAGATATACCCGTGTACTATATGTGTGAGAAGAAATATACCCTTATTCTGCTATTTGGAACAAAAAAACTCTAAAAGTTGAAAGTGGGTCTAAATTTACCCGTCCTTAACGTTTCCTCACTACAATTAACATACATTCCATCGGCCTAAAGAAAACCCTTGTGACAGAGCAGAGAAAAAAATGGCTTGAACCAAGGATGAAGAAACGAAGCACACAGGGAGGCGACTTCAATTACTCAGGCAGAGCAACGAATTGGACATAACTTTTGAATAATGAAATGGAGTAAAAGATAATGATGCTGGTATGTGTTTGACTGTGATTACTCATGTCTTTCCGGTGGGTTTTGTTGGTGTTTGTTACCAGATTACCCGCAAAGACCTGTTTTTGTTGTTTAAATTTCGGCCCAGTAAACAAAACATCCAATAACCAAAAGATACCAAGGGCAATACACACGTTGTAACTATTTCACAACCCTTGTATTTCTGCACTTTTTCAGAGATATTTGGGTTCAAGAGGACATTGTTTCTACAGATTGGTCAGAAATTTTAACCTTCCAGATTTAGGTGCCACAGAGTTGCTAGAAATTTTTCACCATTGTTGAGACCAACAAGTGAGATAACGGGATTTGGGTTATTTGTTGATATTCTTTATGGAAGACAAACTCCCAATTTCACCATTTAAAATTGTGTACTGATGTATATTTACGAGATATTGAATTTATTTCTTATTCACATGTTATGCATATTGAACTTGGTTATTACAGTATATTTTTTTTCTTCATTTGTGTTATTGTGTAGCCTGGTATCCAAAGTGAAACACTGATATCAGCGGGTTCTTCTGTACATCAGGCAACTATTTTTGATGATCCTAATATGGTCTCTAAGGCTTCCGATCCTTAGTGAACAAGCTATAAGGAAGAAGAATGTCAAATGATGAAGTGGCTGACGGAAATCACGGAATATGTTAGTTTGTAGTGAGGAACGTTAAAGAAGGGTAGTTTTAGACCCACTTTCAAGTTAAGGAGTTTTTTTGTTCCAAAAAATAGAACAGGGGTATATATGTTCTCACAAACATAGTATAGGGGTATATTTGTGCCATGTCCCATTTTTTAATACTAAACAAAGTGGTGTCTTCTAATAAACTTCCATACTACCAAAATATTTTTTTTATTCTTTTTTATTTAAAATAGAAGCACCTCATATGTTTAATTGATTATCAATTGATAGGTCCAGTGAAAAGATCCCAGCAGAGGAGGCCACAGTTAGTACCTGGGATGTTATAAAGATCCGATGCAATGCATCAGCATCATTTTTGGGTTCATGTGCTGCTTCCTTTAACCGTACAGCAAGTGTGGTATCCGAAGTGTGCAGATAGACCATTGCCTCTAAACTGGCACCGATCAACTTCCCAGCACGTGCAACTTCGAGTGCTTTGTTCACTTCAGTTCTCAGCTGATAATAAAGGTAGTTCAATTAACTTAGTATAATACTAGTAATACATATCTAAGGTAAATCCCATCAACAGTTGTAAGCTATTTGATTTTGACCCCCCTCACCCCCACATTGGATCTCGATAACACATTTAATCAAAAGACAATCATAATCTTCAATGCTGTTTCATAACACTTCTATCGGTCACATATAAAGATTATAAAGTGGTACCTCTAGAACTTTGGCCCATACATCGATGTCTTCCACTGGGAAGGAAAGATGTTTCTCATTTGTTATTGGCCAGCCCGACTCGAAGACAAACTTGGCAACATTTCCATCTTCAGTATTATCGGGAAAGGAAGATGCTGCCAGACATCCTCAGCCAGATGGGGTAAAATTGGAGCAATTATCCGTGTAATTGAAAGTAAATGAGTTTGACAGTTTGACAACTTCTTCTTGCAAAACTACTACTCCCACTGCAAATTAACGATTTAAACAAGTATGCAAATTTGATAAGCAACCACAAAAAAAGAAGAAAACATGTCATCCACAGAAGAACAAACCTTTTGGACGCATAATATGGAGTGTTTAGGATTTACAAAGAAGCAAGCTACTAGCTAGTCCATTAGGTGAAAACTAATTCTCGAAGTAGAAATCTGATCAAGCAACCACTTAACATTTCTTACTTATTAGTTCACTAGTTATTTCTTTCGAACATTCCATTAAAGGACCTTGGTAAATATATGCTAAATCATACAACAGACACAGTTTGTAAGTGTTCATAATATTTCAGAACTCACCCAACATAAAGTCGATCTGTTGCTACATCAAAGTAAAAGTTGGAGAGATCAACAATGGCAAAGCGTTGAACAATCTACACGGATTAAAAATAAGTTAAGTCATAAGAAAGCAACAGGATAATTATAGTTCTCTGGCTGCTTTTGTTTGTTACCTGATAAATCTTATAAAACTGATAATTGTCATAGCTTTCTTTGATGCTTTTCACAATGGAGGAAAGCTGAAATAGTGCATGCTGATCAATGATTGGAAGGTCACGGTATGGAACTTCATAGCCGAACTGCAGAAAAAACAAACATCTCTTCAGATACATGCAAAATGAAATGCACATCAAAAACATGGATGAGCTTACTACAAGATACTTTTACGAACCACATATCAAAGGACCATGCAAAATAGGACTGTAAAATGACTAGAGTATACATGTCATCCAAAATGATAGAAAGGTTTACGGTAGAGAGAATGACCACACACAAAAAAGTTCACTGGGAATCTTATATTTCTAAACAACATTTTTTACTTACAAAGGTTGAAAGCTACAAGATAAACAACTACTATTTTCAATGAATCGAGAAACTTCTTTCTCCTTTCTCAGATTATCATGCTTACATTCCAGTCATGGAGATTTGCCAAGAGAAACCGCCAAGTTCCTCGCAATTTCCGGTACATTTCAGACATTTGACGGAGGACTTGAGGGCCCATCAGTACATCTGCGGTATAATCAACACTTGAAACCCATAGTCTCAAAACATCAGCACCATAGGGTGGTGCTTCCTGTCAAATATGAGGTGTAAAAAAACTTGCAAATTACAATCCAGGAACTGAGATTGTTTAAATCCCATTTACCAACTAATGACAAACCTACCTTTTCGTTTTTCCCTCCTTCAATTACAGTTATGGGATCAACAACATTGCCCAAAGACTTACTCATCTTGAGCCCTTTCTCATCCAGGACAAATCCATGTGTAATGATGCCAGAATAACGGGCTTTTCCTGTAATGCTTTTTATTGATCATGAGAACATAAGTTATCTTGGGAAAAGCAATATGAAGTCTAACTGTGTGTGATATAGAACCACTATGAAAATTAATACATGGAAGAAGAACGGACAGAAACCTATACAAGCAGCAAAAAGTGTATAAAACCGTTCATATCTATAAATAAATGATACATGATGGAAGCAGGTGAAAACAGTATTATCATGTGACCTTTGCTTGCAATGCTTGTCAGCAAAGAGCTCTGAAACCAACCACGATGCTGATCTGTTCCCTCAATTAAATGCTTGGCTGATTTAGTGTAACTGAAGTATTTTTGGAGATTTTTTGGGAGAAATTTATGCATATGTTTATGAATATATATTACAAAGTATCATTTCAGATCACATACTTCGATATTACAAAATTATGGCCAATTTTCATGCATATTTTACTCAACCTTATGCAATTTGTGGCTGATATTTAGTATAGTATTAATTGATGTTCTGACCAAATTTATCTGCACATATTTTTGGCAATGAGTTAATTTTTATAACCGATGCCAAATATTGAACCTTGGGAAAACCATCCAATCCTACTTTTTTATTTAGACAGTAAACCTACATAAATTTATCAAGACTGCAAGAGAGAGAAAAATGTTTGCCTAATTGAGTGTAGCAGAACTAATTTAGGAGTGATTTGGACAAAGTTTATTTTGGAAACTTAAGTTTTGTATATTTTAGATAGGGTAATTTCAGATGACCTACTTGAAGTTACAAAATTAAAGGCAGATTACAGCATATTTTAAAACACATTTTGTAGCACCTCAAAACAATATCAAATGGTATATTATGCTATTCATGTTGAACTTTATAACCATATCTCTGTTTTCTGTCCATCTCGTGTTAGTATACATTTTTTAATGTCTATTCTTTCTGCTTCATCTGCTTCACCGTCAACCGCCCCGTCTAATTTATTTGTTTTAATTATTTTATTCTCAATTAATTATCTCAATTCCTAAAATGAAATATATTAGTCTTATTGGTGGTATCAGACGATGGGGTGTATCGCCCATCCAAAGTAGCAACCTTGGAGTCGACAACAAATTGGAGTCGATATGGGCACATCAAAGATCGTACAAAATGGCGACATTATGCTTTGGACACATAATGTACTTCGATCATATGATAAGTACCATAGTCATCGACAAATGGTACTTCGATCTGAGTTATACATATTTGTGACACATAATCAATTGCTGCATCATATTGCACTTCAATCTATAAGACATAAGTCGTAATGTCAACAGAAAAGAAGTAACCATGATCTCCATTATCCTTTGGTCAATGCTCATCACTTTTAGTCTCTAAGAATCAGATACACATACCATTCTCTATGCCATATTTCCAAATGCTCATGACATCGTTGAATTGCACTTATTTAATCTTTTCGATGTTTCTTATTTACTTCTTTATTGGTTCTTATTTTCAAGGTTTCTCAATTGCTTTATTAGTTGCTCAGTCTGCTAGGAGATGATATAGTGTTAATGGAGGGTGAACCCTTTTATCTAGACTACATACTTCCACTTTACAGGTGAAGGAATAACTCAGTTTTTTGTTTTTTGTTTTATACACTAGCTATAAAGTGACATTTCTACAATTTTATGCATATATTTTGCTGCCTATGTTTCTATATGCTGCAAACTTATGTCTCTCGAGGTGCTACAAAATCAACTATACTCTTATATTTGGTTTCGAGCAAGGAGGGGCTAGGAGGAAGTCTTTCTCTTTTGCAATGGTCTAGCAATGCACATCCATGGCACCTTTTAGGGATTGAGAGAAGGACGCAAAACAGTCTCTAAGCACATTTGGTAGAGGAAGTGATAAGGGAAGGAACAAACATAATGACTTAATATAAACTATTCGTTGGTTTTGTCTAAATTCTTCATGATTGATGGGCTTATTTGAATTGGAGCTGAGAATATAAGAAACAAACAACTTAATGGGTAATTTTTTTCAATAGGATTGCACTTCAGAAGCACATAGAGATTATAATATCTTTATGTAGATGTAAATGGACACCCAACCAACCAACATGCATTATGTGATAGGTAGTTTCTATACCCAAGCTTTTAACATTCTAATTTTATGAGATCCAAAAACATAGGTTGTGTTTTTTATGCTGACTTTGACTGTAGAACATATCATCGTGATTAAACACTGAGCATAATTTCATAGATAGTTGTGAACAAAATATTAATCTATATATTAAAGATCTATATAAAAGCAATACATTTCTACATCGTCCATATTTTTAAATGTTGCTTTGGATTTCTTTCATCTTCATTCACCCTACCTCCAGTGAAACTGGTCCGTTTTTTTCTTTGCTTTAGTTTGGAACATTCATTTCACAACAACAATCTTTCTGTATCAGACAATTATTCATGAGGGTGTGAAGTATGTTAGTTATGGGAAAAGAAAACTAAAGGTTGTATTGACTTGAAATACCTGCAAATTGCTTGTATTGAACTCTTGGTTAATAACTTATTGCATCTTCTCTCCTGAACAACTAAAAACTCAACTTGGGGGGAAGCACGGGTCCATGAGCTAACATTTGATTTCATAATTTGATCTTTTGTTTTTGTATGTTGATCTGATCTCTTGGGATTGAGCAAGGATGGAAGTGGGGTGGCACAACCAGTCCAAGCACGAGATATATAAAACCGAGTAGGACTTGGAAGTTAACCAAAGCCAAAGAAAGTGGATTGAAGCCTTGAAGTACAAGTTGGTGATAGATACACTCTTATACTAAAGAAGTCCATTGCCATGTTCCATGAGATGTCTTAGTTAAACAGAGAGTTTGGCTTGCTATACTGATATGATTTGGTGTATAGAACATCTGCTAAACTTTAGGTACATAATGTGATATGGATTTTTAGCAATTCCCCCCCCCCCCCCCCCCCCCCCCCCGCTTTTTTCCCTCACTACCCTGTTGAATAAAGTCGAGTGTTCAATACTTAGTTATTTGAAATATATTCAGTTTTTTGGTATAAAAAATTGGGAAAAAAAACAATGACAAGAAAGTAGATATATATATATATTTAAGTTTTATTTCTTAACACAAAAAATGGCGTAATGTGAATTATGTTCTGTCTATCACTTTAGTTACAAAACATTTTTCCCTCCATTTAGCAGAATGTTTGATACTTTGATAAAGACGAGTCTTCTATATTTTTGTTCCTTCAATTTATCAAAATGCCTCAAATGATTATGAGAGATTTACCTAAATAGGACTAAAACATTGTGGAATTGCAAAAATAGGACTCCTATGTTTTATTTGACAAAAATAGGACTAAAAAGAGGTAATCTGACAAAACTACCCTTTTTAAAAAAGAGACGCACACCACCGACGCACAACCTGCTATCCTTCACCCCATGGACCGCAAAATTGAATCTACAGAGCAGCACTCATCCATCGTCGATTGTGGCCTCGCACCGCAGCGCTTCTGCCGTAGCCCTACACTCATCGGCGACCAGGTAGGTAATCTTTTCTTCTTCTTCTTCTTCCTAGTTTTCTGCTTTTTTTAAATTTTTTTATCAATCATATATTTAAATAAAATTTTAATTTTTTAAAGTTTCAAATGAAGATATATCTAAACTTGAATATCTTGTTATCAATTTTGATTACTTTTAATCTCAAAATTCTATGATTAATGATTCCAGAAAATGTCACTTTTTGGATAAGAGCATGTCTAAATATTGGTTTTTTTTACAAAATGTCACTTTTATGTCATTACAATATTTGGAAATGTCAATTAAGTGACATTCCTCATGGAGGGCAGATCCTTTGTCACTTTTATGGCATTACAATATTTGGAAGAAGAAAATGTCACTTTTTATGACATTACATTTGCTTAGGTGACAGTTTCAAATAAGAAAATGACATTTCCAGAGTAATAAAAGTGACATTTTCAGATTGTCATTTTTGTAAATGTAATGTCACAAACGTGACATTTTTTTCTTCAAATAACCAATAATTTTGACATTCTCATAATATACATGTGGCATTTTACTCAATAAATAAAATTCAAATCCAAAAAATCCAAATTAATAAAAATCCAAAAAATTCACAGAAGAAGAGAACAGAGAACCAGCAATTTGAGGAGGATTAGAAGAAGAAGAAGAAGAAGAAGAAGAAGAAGAAGAAGAAGAAGAAAGGAGGAGGAGGATACCTGTGGTCGACGCTGGAGCTGCGGTGCGTGGCGATAGCGGATGGCGGAACTGCTGTCAAGGGATGTGGGGAGCGGCTGCTACGATAAATTCTATCGTAGATTGCAGAAGGGGGGCATCGATGTGCTGCGGATGTGCGTGGCCAGGGATGAATTGCAGAAGGGGGCGAGAGATTGGGGTTTTAATAGCAGGAGGGCAAAATTGTAATGTGGAGTCCTATTTAGGGAATAAAAAACTTAGTCCTATTATGGAGTTTAATCTAAGTTTTAGTCCCATTTTGGGCAATTTTTTCAATGATTATTTATGTGTCATTTTAGTTACAGAATGCATTTTTTCTCTTTGAATAGGATATGATCTAAGGTAGAGGTCTTTAATTTTTTCTGTTAACAACAATTAGAAAAAATATTTTTAGGAGGTTTCTCCCAAGTTATATTTCACTAAGAACATAGGTTGTAAATGAATTTTATCTTAGTTATACTATCCAATAATCTTAACGAATATAATTTTATAATTTTTTTGTTAATAGAATAAATATGATTTTTTGTTAATTGAACCTCTAACTACATGGGTTTAATTATGAGTTTTAACTCCACCGGTTATAGAAAATATTGTGTATCATTTAAAGAAATAACTAATAAGATATTTCATTCATTCCATAAAATTCTTCTCAATTGTTTTTTGGGATGTCCCAGAAAATTCTTCTCATTTCATTTTTTGAAAGTTTTTTAGGCTAACATTCGTTTATCTTTTTCTTACTCAACCAAAATCATATATTTCCACTTTACTCTCACTTTCTTAAGCTCCGATCTAAATCAAACCGAGAAGAATTTTATGGAACCGAGGAAGTATATCTTAAGTTTTGTAGAGTAGAAATAGAATTTTTGTATTTAACATGACATATTGTTGGAAAAACAATTCACCTATATTACTTAAATCTACGTGTCATGGGTTTGTGATTTTGATTGTGATGAATGTGCCTTATTCTATGGTGATCAGTTGAATTATATCTTTTAGTCGATTATTAGTATATGTTTTTTATATGCAAGTGAGATGTAATAGTGAGCAACAAATCCAACACCTCTTTACAAAAAATCCTCCAAATTGCATTTCATTCTTAGTAGTTGGAGGCTTGCAGCGGTTGTAAAATTCCTCTAAGTACGTCTTGGTTCATTCTTAGCAACTGTATAGAAGAAGGGAATGTTGCAGACAATAATGTTTATTTGGTGCTCATGTGGATTCTAATTCCACAAAGTGCAATCATGGATGAGGATAGCTAAGCTCATAGAATACAGAAAGGAAAAACCGCTAGAATGATAGCAAAAGAATATTGTCATTGAAGGCCTGCCTATGATGAAGAACCATTCGAATAAATGTACTCGATTGGAGAAGCTTGCCTAACTTGACAATATGTCACTTTCGACAGAGTGCTATGTTAATTTGTTGATTGGGTAGGATTTTTTTTGGGGGGGGATCAAGATTAATAGTTAAATTAGCACATTTCAATAGTTTTTAGTGACTATATAGTTAGTTTGTTATCTCGTGCAATGCACGGATGAAAAACTAGTTATTTATATAGAAATAGAACTGGAGGAAACATTAACCATGTCTTCTCTCCATCGATCTCCCGAGCAACGGGTATAGAAAGTAAGTTCTAACTTCAACCTGAAAATGGTGGGGCCCTCAGAGGGATCAGTACTACAGAATAGTACTGGCGAGAGCAAACTATATGTTAGAATAACTAACGTTTCAAACGGAAGACCCTCAACATAGAGTGATAATATACTTATGGGCATAACTCCTAGCTACTCCATTTCAAAACATATCGTATACATATATACATATGAGTTAAATATCTAGCTCGTGGGTCCATTTTGTCTTTTAAAACATTTAGGCATAACAGTCTCATTTGATTCACCCTTCCCATGTCATACCCTCGGGTGAAGTCACCCGCAGGCTAACTCACCCGATATAAAAAGATAAATAACCAGGTGTGGCCCTTCGGGCTCCTTAATCTTGAACACAGTTCAATTAATCTTTACATTATATAAAGTAATTGGTTCTGCAATTGATTTTGCATTGATTTTGTGCAATTCTCCCGCCCAGTAATCTTACAGTAACAATCTTTATATTAGTCGGTGGCCAATAAGATGTTATAAAGATACGAAGTTTTATTTTGCATATATACTCTGTAGTATATATGGAAAGTAACATTATTATTATACTCGGTGGCCAATTAGATGTTATAAAGATACGGAGTTGTACAGTAACATTATTTCGGTGGCCAGTTGGATGTTATAAAGATGCTGAGTTTTATTTTCCATATATACTCTGTAGTATATTGTCCATTTATAAATATAATATAATACACTCCATATAAACTCTCCATTTAACGGTAGTACTAATACTCATAAATAGTTCACATTATTATCTTTATTAAATTAAATAAATAATAAAGATAATACAGAGTAAAATAATGATATCCATATATACTATCCATATGAACTCTCCATAATCTTCTAATTGCTAGAGCCTAAATCGGTAAGTACATACTATTCATATACTCCCTCTGTCCCTTAAATTTTTGCCATCTTTCCTTTTTGAGACGTCCCAAAAAACTTTGCCACTTCTTTTAATCAATTATTTTGTGGTTTCTATTATTTCTCTCTCCTCTGCACAAACCTCAACCACAAAGTTTTTACTTTATTATTCTCCGTGCCGGTCAACTTTGGCAAAGATTTAAGGGACAGAGGTAGTATATACTATCCATAAATAATAAATATGATAAAAATAGATTGGTAGTATATATTACTACCTCCGTTCCTATTATAACTTCCAAATATGTTTGGCACAAAATTTAAGGTAGTGGGTATTGTGTGGTGGAGAGTTGTGAAGATGAGAGAGAAATGTGTAAGAAATGTTGTGAACCACAAATTCTTTACCAAAAAGGGGAAGTGGAAGTTTTAATTGGAACGAACGAAAAAGGAAAGTTGGAAGTTATAATATATAGGAACGGAGGGAGTATAATAATAAATACGATAAAAATATATTAGTAGTATATATTATATGATTAATTCGTGAAGTAATCATTATGTAGTACACTAAATATAAACTCTCAATTTAATGGTAGTATATACTATCCATGAATAGTTCGCATTTAATCTTCTTATTATTATACTCCGTATGTTGTGGCATGTAACATAAAGTCATGAACTCTCCATATATATACTTTTAAATAAATAATAAAGATCATACAGAGTATTCTCTAGGTAACATATTTATAATTGATCCCTGGGTACTGCGTTTAGCTCGGCGCTGTAATACATATTATAATTATAATAGTTAATATGATTAATTCGTGAAGTAATCATTATGTAGTATACTCCATATAAACTCTCAATTTACCGGTAGTATATACTATCCATAAATAGTTCACATCAATATATGTATACTATCCAAAAATAAAATTGAGATGTACTTTATATATTATTACCTAGAGAATAATCTCACTATTACCTTTGTTCGTCTACTCGGAGTCGTATTCTAATAAAACATGAATCCTTCAAGCACGTTCTTGCAACATATCTTGCCTGGATCAATCGAATGGAAGATTCATGTGCGTATTATACGCATTTGGAAGTCCTTCGGTAAAAACAAAACAGGACAATCAGAGAGCATTGAGATGGTTTTGCTATATGAAAAGGTAAATGTATTTGCAACAATTATTGCATAATGCAACCATTGATTATAACAGTATTATCATTTTTTACTATTTTGTTCAACTACTCTAACAGAAAACTAGTATTTTTAACTATTTTGTTCAACTACTCTAACAGAAAACTAAGATGCATGCTTCTGTAAAGCAAAGTCTAATCTCAAAGTTTGATCCTTTCCTCCGTGAGGGATGTACTTATGTGCTCGAAAATTTGCTGGTGGCTACCAATGATTCAAGATTGAAAAAGACAACTCCACACAAGTACAAATTGCAATTTATGGGTATCACAAAGTCATTTGATACACAAGCGGGTGCAATACCTATGTATCACTTTGACTTTGTGAAGTATACAGACATTTTGGAAGGAAAACATGAATCATCCATAATATGTATGTCCGAATAAGATTGTACCGTAAGTAGTAAAATTTAAAAAATATCACTCTTTATTTATTTAATGTAAAAAATTGGCATTTTGTCATGTTGCCCAAAAAGGTTTTCTGACGGAACTGGAGAAAGATGGCAAGAAAATGAAACGTATCCAAATTACGTTGGAAGATTTAGAGTAAATATCCTCATAGTCTTTATCTTTAATCTTTTATTTTACTTTACTTATTTATCTTAATCTAAGTTATGTATAAGTTATATATTAGTCCTTCAACGAAAAGTTATATATTAGTCCTTCAAAAAAGAGTTATATGTTAGTGTTACTTATGTTATTTTCATATTCAACACAATTTTTGTTTGCAGAGGAAATCAAATTCGTTGCACTCTATGGGGTGACTTCGCAGTTCAGATTCAAAAAAAGTTTGACATGCCGAGTTCAAGTGGACCCCTTATACTCATTTTAGATATGGATCAAACCAATAAATTCAATGGTTGTTTTTTTAAAAGGATGGTTGTTGTTAAATCAATGGTTAACAATTTGTTGTTTTGCTTTATCTCCTTAATTTCGTGTTTTCTATTAACTTAATAAGGGACTATAGGGGTTACAAACGCATTTAACGGTACACGTTTGTCAATCGATCCTGAAACTTAAGGAGGCCATTGAATATAAGCAGAGGTATAATTCTATGTGCATATATTATTATATTCAAAATGTTTTATGTTCATCTAAAATAAGCTTTTTATTTCCTGAAACTATTGGAGTTGATCTAATTTAGAACATAATATTAATATCCACACTTAATTATAGTTGGTATATGGGTACACTAACATTTGGTTGGTAGGCATCATTTTTCAATAACTAACCGTGTGTCTACAAATAAGTAAACAAGTACACAGACTACAAAATGCAATAAAATCAGTTTTGTTCCAACAAATGGACGCATTTATATCATTAGTTTGTATTAGTAATAAAAAATTTAAAGCCCGGGGATAATTTGTTATGTACCTTTTTTCTATACCATTGGAATGACACCATTCGTAGCATACTTGCCTTGCACCATCTAAAAAAACAAAGACATTAAATAAATGCCACAAATAGAGTGCAAAAATTTTCATGCATCTCTAATAGGGTCATGAAAAGTTAATGCCACTAATTCTGTTTGACTACCTCAACTGCATAATTTATTGTGTGATCATAACAGATGTAGAGATCAAAATTAATCCCATCTAATAAGGTCAAAACAAAAGTGAATTGGAGCAAAAGTTAATCCCATCTAATATCATTGTGTGATCATAACAGATATAGAGATCATAATTTATTGTGTGATCATAACAGATATAGAGGTCAAAATCAATCCCATCTAGTAAGGTCAAAACAAAAGTGAATTGGAACAAATATGATCACACAATAAATTTATGTAGTTGAGGTAGTCAACATGATCTCTATTATTCTGTTGCCACCTTAAGTTGTTTTGATCTTAAATATCATTAACTTTATCTGATGTGATCATAACAGATATAGTTTTGGGAAGCATTCATTGAGTCAAACAGTGACCAATATCTCGGATCAGGTTCCTTCTACTTTTGAAAATGAATTGGAGCAAACCCCTTTCATGACAATCTCGGACCTCCTAGATTCAACAGAGGTGTGTCTTTATCTTATTTTATCTAATATGAATAAATGTTATCATATTCACATGCAAACACACAATACCTAGTGTCATGCAATTTAGCAGAAGGGCTTCGTTTTTGTACTAGCCAAAGTGATTGAGGTAGATACAGATGCTTGGTATTATCAGTCATGCCAAAAATGCTTCAAAAAGCTTCATCTTGTTGGAAAAAAATTCTATTGTCATAGCGGGTCATGTGATACTTATAGACTTGCGGTTCCAAGGTAAAATAACTACAACACTCATCTAAAGAAGTAAGTATACAGTACATTAGCAACAATTTAAATATATTATGCATGATATATGTGCAGGTTTAAGCTGGAAATGAAAGTGATTGATGGTACCGGGTCGTCTACATTTGTAGCGTTTGAAAATTGTGTAATTCCATTCTTAGGCAAATCTGCTTCAGATATTTTAAGTTCCATGGAAAAGGTTGTACACTAACTAATATTTCTCTTATAATACCCAATTACACAACAAATAATCACTTATATGTTTAATATGTAGGGTGGTGTTATGGATTCCATACCTAAAGAATTTGATTCGATTCTCGACAAGACTCTGTTATTCAAGGTAGAAATCAGAGAAGTCAACATTGAGAGTAAATGGAAGAATTATAATGCTAAAAGGATGTTTAGTGATGCTGAAAAATTGCAGAAATTCAAATCATTGCATCTTATCAAGGTTTGACTACCTCAACTACATAATTTATTGTGTTTACTTTAAGACAAAAGTTTCAACTATTTACAAAAGTTTCGGGATGACACTGGAGATGATGTTGATGACACTGGATTTCCATCACAAGGAACCAATGTAACTGTTAATGTAAGATAACAATTTACAGTGTTTTAAAAACGTTTTCATAAAGATCATGATAGACCCCTCTAAATACAAAATCATTAATTTCAAACTGTGGAAGAGGTTGATTCAAATGTGGAGTTTAATATCTTAGAGGTCCAACTGCACTCAAATGTTTGTTATGATAGAAACACAAAACTATTTGATATAAAATACACATGCATATATAGCTCATTAGATGTGTTCAAAGTTTAAATATCATTGTTTAAAATGATGATTTTTTAGGATGAAGAAACCACTCCATCCAGCAAGTCAAATGGAAAGAGGGAAGTAGTTGAGGCAGAGGATGATGCGACCCAGGGATCAAGCAGCAAGATACGCAGGACCCATGAGATTAAAAGAGAGCCGATTGATTAAATGGCTGATTACTTCCGATAATATAAAATCGATGAGTTTGATATTGACAATGGTTGTTTTTTATCAAGTACAATAGGTTTTTTCTGTGCCATGGTTTTTCTATCACATGGTTCAATTTTCTGATATCAAGGTTTCTGTTCGCTATGTGAACCTTTCCCATCATTTGGGGATGGACAAACCTAAGTACCAATAAAATATGGTTGATAGGCATCACTGTATTCAATAAGTAACATTTGATGTGTTATAGTCATTGCCACTTTTAATGGAGTCATAATGACAAGTGTGTTTTCAAAAAGAAAAAGAATAAGTATTTGGCTACAAATTACTACATGTTATGTTATAAACATGAACACCAGATATGTACAAACACTAAAAAGTGAAATAAAACCACTTTCAATCCAAGAAATGCAGGCATTTGATGTGCATTGATCAGCTGCAAAATTTTAAATTTGGTTAAAATATGCAGTAATCTGCCTTTAATTTTGTAACTTCTGATATCAAGGCATTCTGATATCAAGGTTTCTGTTCGCTTTGTGAACCTTTCCCATCATTTGGGGATGGACAAACCTAAGTACCAATAAAATATGGTTGATAGGCATCACTGTATTCAATAAGTAACATTTGATGTGTTATAGTCATTGCCACTTTTAATGGAGTCATAATGACAAGTGTGTTTTCAAAAAGAAAAAGAATAAGTATTTGGCTACAAAGTACTACATGTTATGTTATAAACATGAACACCAGATATGTACAAACACTAAAAAGTGAAATAAAACCAGTTTCAGTCCAAGAAATCTTGGCATTTGATGTGCATTGATCAGCTGCAAAATTTTAAATTTGGTTAAAATATGCTGTAATCTGCCTTTAATTTTGTAACTTCAAGTAGGTCATCTTAAATTACCCTATCTAAAATATACAAAACTTAAGTTTCCAAAATAAACTTTGTCCAAATCACTCCTAAATTAGTTCTGCTACACTCAATTAGGCAAACATTTTTCTCTCTCTTGCAGTCTTGATAAATTTATGTAGGTTTACTGTCTAAATAAAAAAGTAGGATTGGATGGTTTTCCCAAGGTTCAATCTTTGGCATCGGTTATAAGAATTAACTCATTGCCAAAAATATGTGCAGATAAATTTGGTCGGAACATCAATTAATACTATACTAAATATCAGCCACAAATTGCATAAGGTTGAGTAAAATATGCATGAAAATTGGCCATGATTTTGTAATATCGAAGTATGTGATCTGAAATGATACTTTGTAATATATATTCATAAACATATGCATAAATTTCGCCCAAAAAATCTCCAAAAATACTTCAGTTACACTAAATCAGCCAAGCATTTAATTTTCTCTTCTTTAATGCTTCTGTACGTTTATTGTCTATATAAAGAGTGGAATTTGATGGTTTTCTACGAGGCTCAAGGTGTGTTATATATACACCACTCCACAAGTATTAATTTTATCATTGTACACAAACTGTTCCAATGATGTGGCTGAAGTTCCAGAAAAGAGACTAATCTTTCACAGGCCAGCCTCACCCCAGGTTCGTATCACTCTACCAAATATTAGGCATTCATGCCCATTGTACAAGAATGATGCCGATGTGTTTAGTATTACACATTTATGTGATTTTATACCAAAGTGATTGATATATACCAGTGACTGTGCCAATTATATGTGATTTCCTATCAAGCAGTGATCGATGTTAATCATTGAAGTGATTGAACCAGTGATTATATGATAGAAATAAGATATTATCATATGAAAGAGACCGAGGGAGTATAGGATGAGTTTTTTAGCGACAAGACAATTACAATAAGGGGGTAGAGGTAGACAATTGTATACCAGTCAGTTCTCTTTGATAAAAATAGCTATTTATTATTATGCTTAAAAATGTTAAAAATGTAAAGCTACGTACATGAGTATATAATATTTTATTATCTGTTTGATTTTTAAAAGTTGTTTGATTTTAAACTTTGTATATCATAATACTCCGTAATATAATATACTCTTTAAGATTTTTTATATAAAGATAAGAACTTTGGTTTCTAAGATTAGTGTCCAATTTAGAATGAGAGAAAAACCCAACATCTAACCCCATTTCGCTCAATGAGATTTTGGAGTCTGTCTAATCTTACTATATACAAAGCGGAGTGGAAAATCAGGTCATTTTCCCGCCTAAAGATACGGGTCAAATTCGGGTCACCCACCATCCATCATATCATAGTCAAAAACACTGTTGAAATGCATTGGTAACACACTTCTTGGACGAGGTGTCGAAGTGGCGTTGGAAATGATGAATACACTTCCCATTTTACAAAGCTGTCACTTAGTGAGCCAGTCACAATAAAGTAGCTAAATAAATAAATTAAACTTCTAGATACTGCGTATTCAAATTACTCTTTGAATGAAAGTGGATGGATGGTGTCAGAGTTATTGAGTTAACCTATAGCCTCAATAAACTAGCTCTTTGTTTCACTTAAATCTGCTAGAGGAGCAACATGTATCGTCGTATGTTGAGTGGGTGGCTTGCTCTAGGAAAATCAATTCATCTGATAAAAAAATGGGGTCGAGCTACCTTATTTCAGCTTTATTTGACACCGGCTTCTAAACACTAGAAAGTACTCCTATAAAATGAATTGTTTCATTCTTACGCCTGAACACTTCAAACGCCGAAAGCACAATACCTGGAAAATGGTGGTCTCTTAGCACAACCATTCTCAATATTGACTTATTCAGTTGGTTCTTGTCATCTTCACTCCAACGCAAGTACATATTTATGAACTCATACCTCTTAATATGGCTATATATGTCATATTTTGCAAGCTGAAGGGAGGTCGCTGATTTTCGGCTGAACCTGAATCTGGAATAAGCGGCGATATAAAAGATCTTACAATGGTATGCTTCTACGCTACCTCAGCGACAGCGAGGCCAAGCTAGCCATGGAGGAGGTGCATGCCGGGGTCTGCTCCGCACACCAGGGGCCCCACACTATGTCTAGAAAGCTCCTCCTACAAGGATATTTCTGGACCACTATGGCAAAGGATTGCGCTCGGATGGCCCACAGTTGCAACGCGTGGCAACAATTCCAGAATGCCTCGGGACGCCCCGCAGTAAACTACGCCCCCATTAACACAGCAATCCCTTTTTCCTGATGGGGCGTAGACCTCGTGGGACAGCTTCCCCGAGGTACCGGCAACTACAGGTGGATTATAGTCGCCATTGACTATTTCACCAAATGGATAGAAGCGGAACCCTTGGCCAGCATCACCGAGGCGTAGTGCAGGAGATTTGTCCATAAGAATATCCTCACTCGCTTCGGTGTGCCACAACAGCTCACCACAGATAACGGTACTCAATTCGAGGCCAAAAGCTTCCAGGACATGCTGGCCAGCTGGGGGATCAAACACACCGCAGCCTCCGTTGCCTACCCACAGTGCAACGGGCAGGTGGAAAATGCCAACCGCACCATCTTGGCGGGCTTAAAAAAGAAGCTCACAGACGAAGGCGGAGGCTGGGTGGAAGAGATCCATAACATTCTGTGGGCCTACAGAACAACTCCCTGCAGAGCAACGAGTGAGACTCCATTTTCACTCTGCTATGGCTTTGAAGCCAAAGCCCGTATAGAGGTCACAATCCCGACCCCGCGGGTCCTGTCATACGACCCCGAGCAAAATGAGCAGAACATGCGAATCGACCTCAAATTCATTGATGAAAGAAGGGAGAACACTTTCCTGAGGTCGGAGAACTACAGACGTCAGTTCAAGAGCTATTACGATGCACGAGTCCGAGGTCGGGAGTTCCAAGTAGGGGACTACGTCCTCAGGCGACGAACAGCCAGCCAACCCAATGAGGGAGGGAAGATGGCCAAAAAATTTGAAGGGTCCTACATCATCACCGTTGTAGTCTGGCTCGGATCTTATAAACTAAGCACTCCAAAAGGCACGAAAGTTCTGAGATTATGGAACGTCCACCACTTGGTGAGGTACTACCAGTGACCCAGCGCTGCTGTAAAGGAGACAATGAGCCCTCGCCAAACGGAGACTTTGTACCATCACGGGCATTGGAAATCCGGGGTCACTGATAGTAACCTCGGCCGTACACTGTAAACTATTCACGGCTGCCATTTCAAATCAATAAAGGGTTCAACACGAAACTCTCCCTGGGAGCAATTTATATGTCTTACAGTCCAAGCTCAACGCTGATATAAGCCGAGGCAACTTCGTAAGTCCTCACAAACATTGGCTCTTCAGCCTACTATCGAATTCCAAGGCCGCTCTGTAAGTCCTTGATGCTTCTGGGATAACCGCCCCAGCGGCTCCCAAAATTCGAGGTCGTTCTGTAATCCCTCGACAATGCACGCTCATCAATCGAGCCCCAATAACCGAGGCGACTTCATAAGTCCTCGCGAATATAGGCTCTCCAGCCAAGGCTCCGACAAGTTGACGCAACCATATAAGCCCTCAAATCTCCAGGGATAACAGCCTCGACGGCTCCCAATCTCTGAGGCCACTTCGTAAGCCCTCAATCGAACAGGGACAACAACCCAACACGGTTCCCAAAGAGAGAAGTCAAGGCATCTATACAAGCCCTTGTTCCTTCCTCAACAAAACAAGCAGGGATAGTAGCCCAGCGCGGTTCCCAAATTTTGGGCTCAGGCAACTCCGTAAGTCCTGGCACCCCACGAAATTTCATCTCCCCCTTTAGCATTGAAGGCGGGGGGGGGGGGGGGGGGGAGGGGGGGGGGATAAAGGCGCAATGCCGAAGGCTGGGCTACTTGACGGCCCTAACCTTGGTCGAGCACCACTCGCTTCTGACCCCGCCGGGCTCTCGTACGAATCCCGTAGCGCCGAGCTCTAGTCCATATCTCGCGGTCTGGAAGGTGGTCAACTCCCTAAATTGAGACGCAAACGCCGAAGGCTGGACTACTTGACGGTCCTGACCTTGGTCGAGCACCTCTCGCTTCCGACCCCGCCGAGCTCTCGTACGAATCTCGCAGCGCCGAGCTCTAGTCCATATCTCGCGGTCTGGAAGGAGGACAACTCCCTAAATTGATGGCGCAATGCCACAGTCTGGAATTAAAGTCCGACTGCTTGCACCTCTCGCTTCCGACCAAAATGTAAGTTACATATCTTTATATGCGAGTTACATCATTCATGCTATTGAGACAAAAAGAAAGAAAAATAGTTACTGTACACACGTGTAGTGTCATGCGATTTTTTTTTAAAAAAAATTGTTCAAAGTTACATCGTTTTGGGAGTGGAGCATGGTCCTCACCGTGGGATGATAACACGGTATACAAACTCATACCGTTAATACATGATATATCTAAAATATATTATTACCAAATTTATTTGTCATAAGTGCATTAGTGCACTGCAAGTTCATCTAAAGTGCCGCCCAAATAAAAGTCTATTGCAAAATGGAAAGATAGTCTAATAGCATACAAAGTACTTGCTATATTTAAAATTTTAAATAATAATTCGTTTTAATTTATAAAAATAAATAATTTCTTACTACTATTACTACAGTACTACACCAATGTAAATAATAATAATAATAGTAATAATATAAAAGTCTTTATCTTTATATAATACAAAGTAGAAAAGTTACATTTTTTGCCCCAATTTTCTTACCCAATGCATATAAAGATAAAAGAAAAGTAATTATCATAATGTTCTGTCTACCGTGCCAATAAGGGAAATATGCCAATAAGGGAAATATAGAATTTAGTTACTACCGAGTATAATAATATACATATACGAGTACATCTTTATATAATATGAAATAACAGTGTGTCAACCACTTTTGGCGCCCAAAATACCTCTAAAAGAGGGGAAATATTGGAAACTAATCTGCCATAATAATTAAGTTCCCGCCCATGTATGTTTAAGGACAATTGACTTATTGAGCACACCCGTGTAACTTTAATTGGAATAGAATCTTATTAACATAAACATAACGATTACACTAATTAATAGGAGTCATAATTTGATTCTCCATATGAGAATTACAATGATTACACGTGAAACCTTAATCTTATCTCTATCTTTATATAATACGATAGTATAAAGTAGCAGAGTGCGGCAGTTTTTAGTTCCAAAATTCCCGTCTAAAATGATAATAAGATAATAATTATGATGATATCTCTAACTTGGTATAAATTTTCTCTACCATATATATACTCCGTATACCAATAACACTTGGAAACAAATCTGAATCACACGTGTGTTACTTATATAATAATACTTGGCAACAAATCTGTCGTCATAATTAATTACCGCACAAAGTTTGTGCTACTGTTTTCCAAGTTAAATCTTATAACGTAAATCTTATTTCCCGCGTAATTTGGCACAAATTATAATCTACACAAAGATAGATTAAAATGAAGCAATGAAAGTTCAAGTTAACTATTAATTTGTAACAAATTAAATTTATTAAAATAAAATTTATCATCATAATTTATAAATGAAAATGTTAGCTGAAATTTCAGTAAGTGTTATATCACTTTTATAACTTACTAAAGAAAACGAGAGCTTAATTAAATATAAATAATGTATAGAGAAAATTCCCGAAATCAGAGTAATTACTGCTATTTTTGGCAGGAGTACCCAACTTTAAACATGCATGTCAATGTTTTTCAAACTTGGTAGTAACTAATCCTATTCAGGCAATAAAAATATGATAATATTTTGGAATTTCAAAACGTTTTTACTCCTATTTCGGGAATTTTCTCTAAACTTGTTACACAATTTCAATGTATTAAGAAAATTAATAGCTAGCTTATATATAATTTTACCATATGCACGTAAGAGCATCTACAATGCTACAATGTGCACGATGCACATGTGACATGAGAGATAACCCATAAATATTAAAAAATAAATTATCTTTCTCCATATTGGAATGATTTTATACAATTTTGGTAAGTTTTTCTCTGCAATGTCAATCACAATGTCAACATTTAGACGATCTTCTCGACATTGTAGAAAAAAACTTACCAAAATTTTATAAAATCATTCAGAAAAAGAGAGAGATAATTTATTTGCTACGGAGTAAAATTTGTGGCTATCTCTAATGCCACATGTATTTCTTTATCGTGTATCCGATTAAGATAATATTTTTCTTTACCATGTAGATGTGAATAAAATATATATATATTTAAAAGCAAGAATCTCATAAACTAATGAATTTTAAAAGTAAAAGTTATATTGATAGTGTTTGAAATGAAAAGTAATAGTTAGAATTTTGAAAAAATATTTTATGTAAGAAAACGTGAAAAACAACCCAATTTAAAGCACTCACCCCCTTACTTTTAGCTTTTAGTTTTTTTTATTTTTAATTTTATATAGAATTACCTTTTTTAAAATAATAATATTTTGTTTTTAAAGCATAAAGTTGAAAAGTATTTTTATAAATATTTGCAAACACTCCATAAATAGAATTGGCCCAAGTCAAGGCTATATTCAGACAAATATTATCTTTAGTCCCATCGGATAGAAGAATTAATTTCAAATTTCAACGAAGGCAATTCTCAATCATTATTTCATCTGGCAGGAACTAAACAAAAGTTAAGGACAATTTTTTGCGTCAAGTTGGCACATGCGGAATCTCATAAACTAATGCACCAAAGTCTATTTTTATCCATGGTTAGTTTTATGTTTCCAAGCATGTTAGGATTATCCCAAGACGTATTTGGAAATTCGTATATGCGGTGAGGAGGGGCGTGTTGTGATCATCTCTAACAATGTGGTCTACAATGAAGTTTTCAAAACTTATGATAATTTTTATAAGCTGCTAATTAAAAATGATTGTGTTGTTTTGCTTAATTTCGTGAGGACTAACAAAGGAAACACTTCAAATTGTAATATCATGTATTTTTCATTGTCACATACAATTTATTATTACATCATATTATGTATATTTTTATGTTACATGAAATTATTCATATCGCCCGTGTTTTTCTTTTCTACAAACTAGAATTATATTATTAAAGTTACAACATATATGTAGTACTAATTTTTGTATATTAAAAAAATTACATATTACACACTATCATATACTCCCTCCGTCCTATTTAAAGGTTCCCGCCCACTATTCTCCGATTAGCGTGTATTGGTCTTAATATTTTACTTTATATATCCAATTTTTATTAAATTTAAATTTTCTTGATCAGACTTTATAGCGGTTTTAATGTAATTTCTGAATATGTAAATTTTATTTTCAAAAATAATTCTACTAATGACAGGGATCAATTAACTTTATGGTCAGTCAAACTTCGTAAACCGTGTGAGAACGTTTAAATGGGACGGAGGGAGTATATACTAACTCCATATTTTAAAGTTTGCTACATTTTCTATTTAGGATGTATTTAAAATCTACTACACTTTCCCGTTTTGGTCAGTTTTCCGGTTTTCTCTTTAAAAATACACTTTACCTTTTCTACTTATAACTTCTGCTTCATATTTTCCCATCATCTATCTTATATTTTCTACACCATTCATTACGCATGCTATTTTCACTTTAAATAATGTGCCAAAGTCTAATGTAACATAATATATAAACTTTAAACAATTTATTATTCTACTCTAGATATACCCGTGCATCGCACGGGTATTTCGTCTAGTTATTAAATAAATTATCTATTTCCTTGTTTGAGTGATTTTATACAATTTTGACAAGTTTTTCTTAATAATGTCAACCATAATGTCTACATTTAGACGGTCTCCTTGACATTGTAGAGAAAAACTTACAAAAATTATATTAAACCATTCAAATAAGGAGAGAGAGAGTTTAATTACTAATATTTATGTGGCTATTTCACATACCACATGTGACCATGCACACTATACCATTGGAGATGCTCTTAGATTCATTATTATTGTGATTGGAATTTTCCTAATTTCAACAAACAGATGTCAATTTTTCTTTCAATCTATTGATGCGTTGTATCATCACTTTTACTAATTTATTCGCATTTACGTCCTGTCTAGGCGCCCAATCGATTTTCCCCATCGATGACAACAAAATTGAGGCACCCGACTACCATCTAGTGATTAGGCGAGCCTAGGTTGATTTTTAGAACCGTAATACGAGATCTTTATCTAAATTTTATAGAATTAAAACATATGAACACAAATGTGATTGAAGTTATTCCAACCGGTGAGTCTGACACAGTGAGCCAGTGAACATTGTCTTATGGCCGGTGACCACCGCCTTCCAGTAATGATCACCTCATTCTGGCCACAGTGACACCAAGTATAAATAGCAGAAATCTAGTGACCATTGCGTCCAACCTGTTACCACCGCCGACACTACCAACCGTCACCTCGCTGACACTGTCCCACACATGCGCCCTCCCCAACCTCTCCCTCCCCTGCCATAACCCCCATCCCCAACACCCTTCCCAGCGGTCAGCCACCTCTTCAGCCCACATTCCCAACCCTAGCCCCCTCCTTAACCGCCGCACCACCACACGCACCACTGCACCACCCCTTAGTTTAGTAATATTTGTGTCATTTGTCTATCTTAAAACTTTGTTTGGGAATTAATAAATATTTCAAAAAACCCACTATAAATTTTTCTAGACCAATAGAGAACAATAAAAGGATGTGTTTATAATGAAGTTACAATTCCCCCAAACCAAAAGCAGAATACAAGCACATGCATGAAACACTAAAACAGACGCAATTGGGGTTATAGCAATATTTCTTTGGTAACTTGAAAACAACACTTGGAGAAAATATTTGAGTAATTAATTCTTATCTATGTGTGTGTTTGATAGACATAAATTTTTATTATTGTTTAAAATAAGTGAAGAGAGATTTGGGAAATTAGAAGGCTAAATGAGAAATATTATGGAAGAGATATTTGAACAAAGAGTAAGAACTCTTTTTATTGGATCAATTCAAATTGGTTTGATTGTTTGATACAAAATGATGGTAGGGAAGCTCTAATTATACTAATACAAAAGTATCTAGACTCTTCTACCATTAATGCATTCTACACAATTCCACACAATTAATTGTAGGAGAATTCTACGTAGTAGAGACCACATCTTCTAGAGATATTCTAGAATTCATTCCTTCTACATTTTCAACTAATTGAACATTTCCATCAACAATTTAAATACATCTTAATTAGGCCCAAAATATTAAAATAGAAACAAGTTTAATTTTCAACTACTTTTTACTATCACACATGCATTGTTACTTTTTATTTGATAAAGTCATCATACATTCATCACAACTTCCTAAGTAACCTTAGGGTGGATTTATCTAGGTGATAATACTTGCACATATGCTACAAACACATATGGGCGTCTAGCTAGTTACATTCTTTCACGCTAAACACTCTGATCCAGCGGGATTTTAAGTAAAACTTCAAATTAGAAATTAAGCTTAGTTTAAATCCATCATATATAATCGGATTCCATGTAGGCACCAGCGAACTTAGTTAGAGCCCGATTGATGTCCATTATGACGGGAGGCTTCCGTTGACTACTCCACGAACCAGTTGACACATCTTGCTTGTAGTACCTCACCATTTCTTGGGGAGGAGGGTTAGGGTTAGGGTTAGAGATCATCTCTCTAATATAGCTAATAAACCCGTTGCCCCTTTGCTTATTAAACTCCTCCATTAGCTTAGCCACCACATAATCAGCATCATCCTCTTTCGGGGTAATGATTGGCTCGTCCGTCGGTTTCGGATATCTCTTCTGCCATCCATCGCTCAGCAGTGGCTTTCTCGGTCTTCATGCGACAGGATCACTGCTCGGGGTGGGCTGAGCGGCAGCGGCGGCGGGTTTAGCCGCTGGCGGCGGCACATTTGTAATGGCCGCGGGTTTTGGCTGTCGGCATTCGTCTTGTTCCCAACCGAATTGGTCGTAGAACTTTTTTACCGTCTCGAGGCTCTCGTCATCAACGTCCTCCCGAAGCGGAGCAGGAGCTGACGGCCGGTTAATTTCGGGTGGTTCGGATCTGATGACCCGAACCACCCTTTCGGTGGTCACCAAGTACCTATCTGAGCCATCTATGTGAGGGTAGAGCCGGGTGAAGTTCCTCCTCCCGCCACCTTTAAAATGAACCATCACGTATTTGCTCGGCTTCCTATGAGCTTCATTGGAGTGAACTTCATTAGAGATTTGCTTTCTTGAGTTGTCATCCATTTTTAATTGCTCAATATATAGCTATTACTACGTATATAGTACTTAGCTTGGAAATTAATGAACAAAGAGTGCTTTATATAGTTATATGTACATTTTTTTGAGTATGTGGATGCTTGTAAGGATATGAAGTTGTTATCCCGTTTTATAGATTCGTCCATATACGTACAAGGGATAACGTGTGTTTAACTTGTCTCTCTCAACTTTTTTTTATGAATCTCAATACTCCATTTGTTCTGTTTAGTACTCTATAATTGTTCCATTTTTTCATTTTGGGATGTCCCTTTATTATTGTCTCATACCATAATTGGTAACATTTGTGTGCCTCCCTTCCGTAACAATATTAGGGGGACGGAGGGAGTAACATATACACTTTACTTTTTGAATTGTTCAAAATTATGAGTGTTTTCCTAAAATTAAATTTCATTTCTTTTTTATTTCCCACTAAATGCTTTCATCTATTATTTCACCATTTAGTGTTTGTGAACTCATCTTATACGTAAATACGAGATAGTTCATTTTGGGGTTTGGGGTTTTGGGTTTCGGGTTTGGGTTTCGGGTTTCCGATTTTGGGTTTCGGCTTTTGGGTTTCAGGTTTCAGGATACAGGTTTCGGGGTTCGAGTTTCGGGGTTTTGGGTTTGGGGTTTTGGATTTCGGGTTTGTGGGTTGCGGGTTGCAGGTTTCGGGTTTCGCGTTTCGGGTTTCGGGTTTCGGGTTTCCGGATCTCGGTTGCGGATAGCGGGTTGCGGGTTGCGGGTTTCAGGTTTTGGTTTTGTGGTTTGGGGTTTCGAGTTTGGGGTTTCCGGTTTGGGGTTTGGGGTTTCGGGTTTGGGGTTTGGGGTATTGGATTTGGGGTTTGGGGTTTCGGGTTTGGGGTTTGGGGTTTGAGGTTTGGGGTTTGGGGTTTCGGGTTTGGGGTTTGGGGTTTGGGGATTGGGGTTTCGGATTTCGGATTTCGGGTTTCAGGTATGGGGATTCGGGTTTCGGGCTAGGGTTTGGGGTTTCGGGTTTGGGGTTTGGGGTTTGGGGTTTCGAGTTTCGGGTTTCTGATTTCGGGTTTGGGGTTTCGGGTTTAAGGTTTGGGGTTTCAGGTTTCCGGTTTGGGGTTCGGGGTTTCGGGTTTCAGGTTTGTTGGGATATTGACCTAGAGGCCCAATACCCAGATCGGGAAGGCTCAAGGTATCCGGCCCAAGTAACAGGCCTATCACTCCATGATGAAAAGATCCAGTAAGGAGACATACCGAACGGGGTTCGGCCCAAATAAAGGTTGGCCCAATAAGAAGACATACCGAACGAGGTTCGGAGTATATATCATACTTGGGCCAATTTGACAGCATCTTCTGTACGGACCAACATCCCGTTCGAGCAACGGCCAACCAGCAAGTGGCCAGGTGCAGTTAATGCCAGCCAGACTATGACATCAGCAAGTGGAAGCATGGATGACCAAGTCGGTGGAACAACGGCCAATCAGCAAGAGGCAGCCCATGCTCTCCATTAGTATAAATAGAAGGTTTCAAGTCATTGTAAGGGTTAGCATTTCAATACTCAAGCTCTAAAATAACATCATTTGCTCTTATTTCTTGTATTAAGGCATAGTTTCCGACTTATCGATCAGGAAATCCCTTGTAATCAGATTGGTTAATTAATACAAGTGAGCTTTCGAGTTTTAGTTAGTTCAGATCTTATATTTTCTCGTACACCTTGATTCTGGGCCATTCCTGATATATCCAAAGTTCGTGTTGGGCTTTCGGATCTACGGGACTTACCCTCAACATTGGCGCCGTCTGTGGGAAACTTGTAAAAAGTTTCACTTTCTAAACATCCAAAAAACCTCTATTTCTAAAAATGGTCAGAATCAATTCCTATCATACAAACGACGGTTCACACCGTCACGGGAGGAGTCACACCTCGGGGAGTCAAAACCCCCAGGGACAATCCAGTCGAGGATCCTATCCTCGTGTTAATGGGGATTTTGTGATCCCCGAATCTCTGAGGAGAAATCCCCAGGCCATGCGTGACATGGCCCAATTCATGCAGCACATGGCAAACGAAGAAGAAGGAGGTTCCAGCTTTACAAGAGAAACTCCACGCGCGGAAACAGCCACAGCGTCATCCCGCTCACATACCCATCGGGATAATCGACGTAGCGCCCCACCAGCAGCGCATCCCAGTCCCAGTGACCGAACCCCGGTCGGGTCGCAAGCTAGAGGACCAACTCCCGTCGGTCATCATTTCCAGTATGCCGAGCGGGAAAATACTAGGGCCCCTCAGCGGCATTGGGACCGGGACTGTGCGGATATGAGGGTTCCACCACCGCCCCCTTTGACGGCCCAGGAGGAAGAGATGGCCGAGATGAGGAGGCAAATGAATGAAATGCGGGACCAGATGAACAGGGTACCTGTACAACCTGCACCAGTCCAACTGAGGATTACTTCCCCGTTTACTAGGGAGCTCATGTACGCGGATATCCAAGGGGGTGCCAAGCCCCCGACCGGCCAAATCTATGATGGGGTGGGAGATCCCCACGTACATCTGAGGAGTTACCAAGGCGGACTTATGCTGCTAGGAGCACCCGAGGCTGCCATTTGCCGTTTGTTTTTCAGCACGCTCAGGGGGCCTGCCCAGGAATGGTTCGGGACACTACAGCCCGGGTCAATCAATAGCTTTACCGAGTTATCAACGTTATTCTTGGCTCAATTTGCTTCCAGTGCCAATCCCAAACGGCACTTCAGCTATCTGACCAGCGTGAAGCAAAACGCCAAGGAGACCCTCAACCAATTCCTGAAAAGGTGGAGGGATGAAACTTTAACAGTGGGAAGCATGACGGATGATACCGCCATCACCCTGTTCACGAATGCTCTCCGAACGGGGGAGTTGTACAAAGAATTGAAGAAGAATCCGGGCACGGCGTACGCCGAAGTATTAGATAGGGCGCGCAAGCATGCCGCCCTAGAAGAAGAAATAATGATCAGGGATAAGGTCATTACGCCTGCTGCCCCGATCAGACTGGCCGATCGGCTGGGTCCTAGCCCAGCGGCCACTTTACCTCCCAAACAAGGGAGATTTACACCCCTGGTCCTATCAATAGCGGCCATCTATCAGAACGAGAGGGACAATATTCCCATCCCGACTGATTCTGGACAGTTCATGGGAACGGATGACAATGCTTTCTGTAAATATCACAACAGAAAGGGTCATACCACCAATGCCTGCAGGGCCCTGCAAACAGCAATTGAGGATCTGATCCGAAGGGGCCATCTGGGCAAATATGTGAACAAAGATCCGAATGCAATGGGCACGTTAAAACCGGCCAGGAAACCTAACAGCTGGCGCCGGGATGCTCAACGTGACGCCCAGCCTCAGAATGATGTGTATGTTCCTCCCAGAGATGAGCCAGAGGGCTCGAGAGGCCCCGGAAAGAATCCTCGAATGGAGGTCAAGGTCATATTTGGGGGGCGGGGAGACCGGAGATTCGAACACCGAACGGAAAAGGTTCGAGCGGAGTCTTTATGTGGGGTCCGTCTCCGCTCCCCCCCAGAAGAAAGGAAGGACAGACCCGATCACGTTCGGGCCAGCTGATCTACCCAACTCTCCAAGCCCCCACAGGGATGAACTGGTGGTAAGCATGTGTATTGACAATGCTTTAATCCGCCGAGTGCTGGTCGATACTGGGAGCAGTGTGAATGTATTGTATCTACAATCATTCGAGAAAATGGGTCTGCAAAGGAGCAACCTGACCCACCTACGGACTCCACTGGCAAGTTTTACCGGTAACTGCATCGAGGCGGAAGGGACCATCCAATTGATGGTTGAAATTGGAGATGAAACCCACAGAGCGTCACTCCGAATGACGTTCGTGGTGGTAGATATAAAGTGCGCCCATAATGCCATTTTGGGCCGACCGGGATTGGAAGATCTGGAGGCAATAGCCTCTGTCCGCCACTCATGCATCAAATTCCCCACAGACACTGGGGTAGGGGTGGCCAGAACTGACCCAACAACAGCCCGGACATGTTATCGGGAGGCCCTGAAACAGATGAACACTCGTGGGATGCGGGTGAATACAATTGAGGTGGAAACCCACCGAACGGAGTTCGAGGCACACCCGGAGCCCGCCACCCTTCTTGAACAAATCAACCTCGACTTCCCCCCGAACCGTAAGGTCGCTATCGGGGTAGATCTGGAGGCAGATATCCGGGATGGCGTGATTGCCGTCCTCAAAAAGTTTCAGGTGCTATTTGCCCGGGGGCCAGAAGATATGCCCGGCATTGATCCAGAAATAATATGCCACAAACTTGCCGTTCGGTCTGATGCAAAACCGGTCCAACAGAAGAAACGATATCAAGCGACCGAACGGCGGGAATTCACCAAGAAGGAAGTGGCCACTTTGCTAAGGATAAAGCATATCCGTCCGGTAATCCACGTAGAATGGCTATCCAATGTGGTTCTAGCCCCAAAACAATCTACCTGGAGAATGTGCGTGGATTACTCCGATCTGAATAAAGCATGCCTCATGGATCCCTACCTAGTGCCGAGGATCGATCTGCTAGTGGATGAGACTGCTGGGTGCGAGTTACTGAGCTTCATGGATGCTTTCCGGGGTTATCATCAGATATTCATGCACCCGGCCGATGCAGAGAAAACGGCGTTTGTTACTTCGGATGGCGTGTTCTGCTACATCGTCATGCCATTCGGATTAAAGAACGCGATGGCAACCTTCCAGAGGATGATCGGGATGCTGTTTAAAGATGTGCTGGGTGTCACAATGGAAGCCTACGTTGATGACATCCTGATCAAGAGCAAAAAGAAGGAAAACCATGTCCTGGACATAGAAAAGGTGTTCGGGATAATGCAAAGGGCGAATATGAGGCTGAATACCAAGAAATGTGCGTTTGCTGTAAGAGGAGGCAAATTTTTGGGGTACATGATGAGCGAGAAGGGGATTGAGCCCAATCCAGAAAAAGTAAAGGCCATTGTGGACATGGAGGCTCCGAGGAATCTCAAGGAAGTACAGAGATTGACCGGTCGGCTAGCAGCCCTGAGCAGATTCCTATCAAAACTGGCCGATCGAGCTATCCCGTTTTTCCAAATCATGAAGAAAGCCAACCCTTTCGAGTGGACGGCCGAATGCCAAACGGCCTTTGAGGATTTCAAGACATATCTGTCTTCCCCCCTGGTCTTGACAAAGCCCGAACCGGGGGAACATCTGTATATGTACCTGGCTGTAGCTGACTTGGCCGTAAGCACGGTATTGCCGAAAGAAGAAGATGGCGTTCAACGGCCAATCTATTTTGTGAGCAAGGCGTTGAACGGCCCGGAAACCAGGTACACCTTGCTAGAAAAGAATATACTGGCCCTGATAGCTATCATTAAACGCCTGGCCCCGTATTTCCAGACCCACCCGGTAACTGTATATACTACCCAGCCATTAGCCACCATCTTGAGAAATCCTATGGCAAGTGGGCGCATTACCAAGTGGAGTCTCCTGATCGGGCAGTACGAGGTAGATTTCAAACCCCGGCCTACTATCAAAGGGCAGGCCCTGGCAGATTTCATTGCAGAATGTACCGCTCGGCCCTCAGAAAAAGATTCAGAGAACAACGGGCTGGATAACTGGTGGGAAATGTATGTGGATGGAGCATCTAGTGCCAAAGGTTGTGGAGCTGGAGTTGTGATCACATCGCCCGAGGGGTTCAAAGCATATTATTCCATTCATTTTGATTTCAAGGTGACCAACAATGAGGCTGAATATGAGGCTCTCATTGCTGGTTTAAAGTATGCAAGGGCCCTGGGCGCCGATCGGTTAAAAGTGAGATCGGACAGTCAACTGGTGGTACATCAAGTGAACGGCACGGCTGAGGCCAAAGAAGAAAGGATGAAGGCATACAAGGAAATGGTCGAGGAGCAGATACGTAAATTTGAACAGGTGGTGCTCGACCAGATATCCAGAATCGAAAATACTGAAGTAGATATCCTGTCCAAATTAGAACATGCAGCGTTCGACGATCGGGCACAGGAGATCCCGGCTCATATCCAACGTTTTGCCCATCGGGAAACATTGGCAACCCCAGCAATAATGGTTCTCCAGATCGAGGCCATATCTTATGCCATCCCGAGCTGGGTCGTGGATATGACCAACTACCTAAATGACGGAACCCTCCCACAAGATAAAAATCCTGCTTATCAAATAAAATGCATCCAGAGGAGGGCTTCCATGTTCGAGTTGGTGGACGGGCAGCTGTACAAAAAGACATTTGGGGGGCCGTATCTGAAATGTCTCCCACCCGATCTAGCGGCAGCTGTAATGGAAGAGATTCATGAAGGTATCTATTCCAGTCACCAAGGGCCCAAGACGCTGGCCAGAAAAATCATCTTGCAAGGATATTATTGGCCAACTATCCAACAGGACTGCTTCGCGCATACCAGGAAATGTAAGGTATGCCAATTATACGCACTGGTTCCCGGACGGCCTGCCACTTTCTACACTCCGATGACGGTGGCCCTTCCATTTGCAAGATGGGGAATAGACCTGTTAGGTCCTCTACCTACTGCACCCGGAAACAACAAGTACATCATTGTGGGGATAGATTACTTCACCAAATGGGCAGAGGCCGAGCCACTGGCCAGCATCACAGATGTTAAATGCCAGAAGTTTGTCTGGAAAAATATCATTTGCCGGTTCGGAATCCCTGAACAGATTATAACTGACAATGGAAGGCAGTTCGTGAGCCGGAATTTTGAGAACTACCTGGTCAAATGGGGGATCAAGCATTCCAGAGCATCCGTCGCATACCCTCAGGGAAATGGCCAGGTAGAAAATATGAACCGAACCATCATGGATGGCATGAACAAGAAGCTGGAAGAATACTCCTCATCGTGGCCTGATCAGTTGAATTACATTCTGTGGACTTACAGGACCACACCCCGAACGGCCACGGGAGAGACTCCATTTGCCCTTGCCTATGGTTTTCAAGCCAAAGTACCAACGGAGATCCTAGTTCCCACACACCGAACGGTGCATTACAGCCCAGAACAGAATGAAGATAACTTACGGGCCGAATTGCATTTCGTAGAATAAAGGAGGGATCTGGAAGCGGCACAAATGGAAGAGTATCACAGAGTCACAAGAAGATACTTCGATAAGCAGGTTAAAGTTCGTTCAATCGAGGTAGGGGACCTGGTACTAAGAAAGAGAGAGAAAAGCAAGCCGCTCGAAGGGGGCAAAATGGCACAAAATTGGGAAGGCCCCTACCAAGTATGTAAGAAGTATGCTTCAGGAACGTTTGGCCTACAAAATACCGAAGGCCGACCGGCAGGAACCTGGAATGTAGAACATCTGAGGAGATTTTATCAGTAAAAACGGCTGTTGCCACCTCTAAAAAAAATAGAGAGGGAGACATAACTTCCACAAACTCAGCCCATGGTTAACTCGATCATTCCGGATAACCGAATGACGAACGGGTTAACAACATGGAAGGAAAATCAATTCTCAGTTTAGAGAGTTTTTGACCCTAGAATTACGAAAGAATAAAGGGATCAAAAACGGCTTGAAGAATTGAGGCTCAGAAAATCGGTGCCCATGGTTAACTCGATCATTCCGGATGACCGAATGACGAACGGGTTAATTCCATGGAAGGAAAATCAATTCTCAGTTTAGAGAGTTTTTGACCCTAGATTTATGTAAGAATAAAGGGATAAAAAATGGCTTGAAGAATTGAGGCTCAGAAAATCGGTGCCCATGGTTAACTCAATCATTCCAGATGACCGAATGACGAACGGGTTAATTCCATGGAAGGAAAGTCATTCTCAGCCAAACGACTGGGAGTTTGACACTCAGATAGTCTCACCTCAGCGGTTAATATGAGAATCGATTCTGGAAAACCGAATGACGAACATATTAGCAGTTTGGAGGGAGCCATACATTTCAGCAAGAGTTTTGACCCTGTAATTACACATTGATGAAAGGATGAAAATGGCCTGGAGTTCGAAGGACAGTGATTCTCACCTCAGCTTGTTAACACGTAGAATCATTCTGGATGACCGAATGACGAACGGGTTAACAGCTTGGAGGGAGCTGAGTCGTCAACTTAGCCAAAGTCGACCCTGTAATTACGTACGGGCAAAGGGATCAAAACGGCTTGGAGATGGTGTCAAGACTGTAAGATATGGATTAACCGAGCGACGTTCGGATAAGGTACGGATTGTCGTCCGGGGAATCGGAACTATTGTTTTGAAAAATCTCGCCTCAGTCATAAAACTTGACTTGGAAGCTAGTCGCCCTTTTAGCTATAAGTAAGAAATGACCCAACTTCAGTGATCTTGCTTACAGTTCGAAAGGGGTTACCTCAGACCCCTAATATGGATGATACGAGCCAGAGAAAACAGTTCGGAATGCATCGGAATTATGGGTTTGGAAGGAGAGAGCCTCACCTCAGCTTGTTAACGCATGAAATCATTCTGGATGACCGAATGACGAACGGGTTAGCAGTTTGGAGGGAGCCCCTATCCCAGCCGAGAGTTTGACCCTGTGGTCACGATCAAAACGGACGGCTTGGAGGAATTCGCCTCAGCTAAGAGTTTTGAACCCGTGCGTCACGAACAGGAAAAGGGATCAAAACGGGTTCGGGAAGGTGTCAGAACAATTATGAAGAGAGTCTCACCTCAGCTTGTTAACACGCGAAATCATTCTGGATGACCGAATGTCGAACGTATTAACAGCTTGGAGGGAGCCCCTATCCCGGCCGAGAGTTTGACCCTGTGGTCACGATCAAAACGGCTTGGAGGAATTCACCTCAGCTAAGAGTTTTGAACCCGTGCGTCACGAACAGGAAAAGGGATCAAAACGGGTTCGGAAAAGGTGTCAGATATAAAGATACATGAGCCGAGTGAAGTTCGGCCATGTAGAAAAGATTGTGGACAAAAAATCAAAGGAATAGAAAAAGTACAACAGACAAAGGAAAAAAGTCCAGTTTATTCTTCGGCGTTACTAGCCGGAATATACAAGAACAAATATGCAAGAAAGAAGACAACAGATAAGGAAAGGCTACACTAATGGATGATCGTCGTTCGGGGAGGACGTAGGCTGAGAGCTCCCTGTCTGCACTGCATCGTCAGACGCTGCTTTGGATCTTTTTTCCATGACGCGATCGTACGTATTCCCGAACAGATCATCGAAGCCTAGTTCATCAGGATCGAACGGCTTGGGGAAACGCTCTAAGATCAGTTCAAGATTCCTATCCAGAAGCAGGTCCTGACTTTGCTTTACGGTTTTCTCGGTCAGGACATCCAAGAAAGATTTTACTTCCGGCGTGCTGTCCAGGAGGTCGATCCCTGCCTTGATGGGATCTGAGCTCTCACGCAAAAATTGGCCAAGGTGAGGACCTAGGAATTGTCGGGCCGTATTCTCCAGAGCGAGGTTCAGCGCCTTGCCCCGTTGGAAATCCACTACCGATTGCTGAGCAATCTGAGAGGTATTGACCGTGTAGGGTTCGGGCAGATGATCTCCGACAGCCTTATCAAATTTAATACCCGCAGATTCAGCAGCCCGCACCTTGGCCCGGAGTTCTTTGAGTTCCCGGTCGTGACGACGGGACGTCTCCTGCATCTCGGCCAGGGCAGCTTTTGCCTTCTCACCCTCTTTGGCCTGCTCCTGGAGGTCGGTCGCTAACTTCCGAGCGGCGGAAAGAAGGACCTGGCCGTCATCCCGATCACTGGCCAGGGCTTTCATCTCCTTCTCAGCAGCAAGAAAGGCTTTGTGATAATACACGCCAGCCTGAAAATAAAGTTACAATGGAAGTCAGAAAAGGTAAAGCACGAATAATAGAAAGGTATGGGTCGGACTGAAAAGTACCTTGAGTGCTTCCTGGTGACCTGCTTCGAAAAGGTCCGACCAGTGAGTCAAGTTGGTGAAGCTCGGGGGAACTTTGATCGCAGTATGACACCACATAGAAGATGGCATCAACCCGAACAGATACCTCCCTTCTGATCTGGGCCCCATATTTGAAAATTCAACAAACATCCGATCATCGATCGGTGTGGCAGTAAGAACCGGAGTTTGTTTGTTGGCAGGCACTGATCTTTTGGGCTCAACCTCCGACCCGGTCAAGTCAACCACATGGTCGATCGGGATCAGGTGATCACCATCATTTCCCTTACGCTTTTTGCGGGTTTGCTCCGCCGAATCACGATCGGCTATCATCTTCTCTTTCCCCTTAGCAGAAGAGATAGAACGCCGGACGGGTATGGGAGAGATCACACCTACAAGAAAGAGAATTAAAAAATGAGAAGTTGAATTGTAAGAGCGAAGGATGATCGGGTTAAAACCCTACTATGCTTACCAATTCCAGCAGATAACATGCTCGAGGCAGTGACAAAGCTGCGAAGACTTCTGGTCCCTCCCATTCGCAAAGACTCGGCCTGGGAGTGTAGAACGGCATCCACCCTAGGCAGGGAATCCCGAACAGGGTATGCGTTCCACCTGTTCGGGAATGGCAAAGAATCACCTACCCGAACGAACAAAAACCGCTCTTCCCAGTCAGCCTGCGGGGTAACGTTCTCTATGAACAGCTGACGGTCAGAACGGGCTACCAGCTTCAAGTACCCGGTCGTCCAGTAGGGCTGATAGCAGTAATGATAAAGGAACAGATCGACGCTCGGGGTGATCCTCAACTCATGGCACCGGATAATAAAGCCTGTCAGAATACGGTAAGTGCTGGGCACGAACTGAGCGGGGAGTACAGCAACCCGGCGTAAGAACTCCACTATGAATGAGTGGAGAGGGAACCGAAGTCCAGCAATCAGAGCATCAAGATGCACTAGCACGTACCCCGGTCTGTGCCTCATGGGGTGCCGAATGAATCCGGCATAGTATTCTCTGGGCGGGGGCAACAGCTGGCTAAGTTGCCGTTCAACATCTTCCGGGAGACGTTGTTTGTGTTTGCGTATGCGATTGAAATGTAGGGGAATGCGGGGTGGCCGCTCGGGCATCCCCTTGTTGTAAACCTGGAGGTCATCTCCCGACAGACATCCATCCTCCTGCGGCTGTTCGGTATGTTTGCTGACCTGAGTATTGGCGGGTTTGGGAGTTTGGGACGAAGAGCCTTCGGCCTGGTTACCAGCGGATGTTTTGCTCTTGCGAATCAAAGGCATCTCTTCAGATTCTGAGCTAGAGGAGTAGTACATAAAAACGCTGGAGGAAATTTGGGAACTCTAGAGAGAGAAGGCTTGAGAGTATGCAAAGGAATTCTAGAGAGAGAAAGCTCGAAAGAAAAATGAGAAAACAGCAGGAGAAATTAGGGGAAGCACCTCTCTATAAATAGGGAAAGTACCGCACAACTCCCTAATCCATGAGCAAATGGTGGATTACAGAGGATTTATGTTGGGGCATTTATGTTTCATCTTTTGTGCACGTACCCCGGACGGGATTACAGAGGATTAGCAAAAGTCACAGGGGATTGCTGTTTAGAAAAATGCTAAGTCCTAAATATCAACCTGAAGCCCGACCGGCCGACAATATTATAAAAGGTTATCTGGAAGAAAAATGCTAAGGCCTAAATGTCAACCTTGAAGCCCGACCGGCTATCAATGTTATGAAGGAGCCCAGGTGCAAAGAAAATCGAGAAAACTGCCAAGGTGTCAACCTGAAGCCCGACCGGCTATCAAGTTGTAAGAGATTATCTAAAGCAAGAATGTGCCAAGTCCTAAAATTCGGTATGAAGCCCAAACGGCTGAGTACCAGGGGGAAGGGGTTTTTTCCTTAAGTAAATTATCAGAACTTTCTAATGCCCGAACGGCGATCAACGGCGTTAGGATTATTTGAGCAAGAAATAAGTTAGGAAATTGGTTAAGTCCTACGAAACAGGTCGAATTCCGAATGGCGAGTAAATCATGCATTAAAGACAGAAAAGATAGTACACAAAATTTCATGCAAAAAAGAGATATATATTCATCGGCTCTACTGACCGGGAAATACAGTTAAGGTTTTTTGTAAAGAAAGAACAAAAAGGGGTTACAGTTACTAAGATACTACTCTATTGCCCTGCCCCATTGTCTTCTTCATCACCCTCCTCATCCGAATCAGTAAGGGGATCAGGCTCCTTTCCCGCCTCCCGATCAGCAGCCCGTTGTAAGTCTCTTTGATATTTCTCATATTGAGCTTCGACTATGGGCGCCTGAGGGAGATCAGTAAGCTCGACCGGCCTCCCTAGCAATTCTTGGAATTTGGCGATAAAGGGAGCCATGATGTGCTGACAGCCCATGACGTACAGAGATCGAGCCAGGGAATCATTAAATTTTTTCCCCCTGGGGTCCTGATCGAGCAATTTGACCCCCTCGCTCCGACGGGCGTCACCCGTGGAAAAATGATCAAGATAATCACCAAAGGTGACTGGGAGTTGCTGCTGTGCGAAATCTTTCTTCAAAATAGCAAACTCTTCAGACCCTTTAAATGACTCCCGAACGGCGGACAGGTCAACCTGTATTTCAGCAGGGCCGTCCGGGATGCGAGGGGCATGCTCTTCGAATTTAACCAAGGCAGCTTCTGCAGCATGGACCTTGGACTGAGAAACTCCGAGTTGAACCCGAAGCTCGCCAAGCTCCGATTCAAGACGTTTCTTCTCCTCAGTATGGGCCTTCCGCTCGGCCTCCAGGGCAGCAAAAGCAGCTGCTGCATTCTGCTCCGCGGAACTCTGAGCAACGATCAGCTCCCGCTCCTTGGCCAACCGAGCTTCCTTCAGTTGCAGGCTATAAAGCCCAACCTGCGGAATGACATTCAGGGAATGAAATGGGGAAGAGAAATTGTAGATTAAGAAAGATTTAAACTATGGAATGGCAAGATACCTTCAGAGCTGCCAAGGCAAGGCATTCCTCGGACTGCTCGATCGATAACTTAGGGACGGTGAAATTGTTGAAGAAGGCGGAGGTAGACCAGATCTGACTTGCCGAACAGTCACCTCTTTCCACAACATCATGAACCGGATCCGCCAGGGAAATCCGGTCAACCTGGCCAGATAACTGAACGGTGGGTGTTTCACCCGTACCCTGGCCGGCTTCTGGAGCAGCTTGAAAATGCTCGGAAAATTGCTGCAGTTGATCAGAGCCAAACCGATCATCGACCAGCATGGCATCGAATTGATCCTGATGGACCTGCTGTATCGGCTGTGGCTCTGGAAGCGGTTGAGAAGACCCAGCATCCTGGGCAGGAACAGTAGAGGGAGTAGGTTGGGGGTTCTTCCTGGCCTTTTTTCGCTTACCGACCCCACCAGCTGCCATAACTCTGCTGTTGTCCATAGGTAGATCTGGGTTTGGTGCTGAAAAAAGACAAAAGGACAATGTTAGTATCGAGCGACCTTAGCGTGTGAGAAACTAGAAAAAAGAACAAAAGAACGTTTCTCGCACGGGAAGGACCGCCCGGACCATGGCACTTGGTTTCTCAAAACAAGTAAACTCAAGAGAACGGGCAGTACCTATCCCGGCTGTAATAAGTCGTTCAGGAGTCAGATAACTTATAATGTCCATGCATTTATCCTTCTCCACGGCAAGTACGTCCTTGTAAATTTCTTCAGTAAGGATAGGATCAGGAGTCTTGCGAGGGAAGGCATTCCATTTGCGGGGAATTAGGCCGTCCGGGACAGACATGAAGAAAAAACGGTCTTTCCACCCTTTAATTGAAGTTGGATTTCCTTTAAACAGGATGTGTCCCGTTCGGGCACTGGTGGCCAGATAACCGTGGGTTTGTTGGGGGGCTACTTTGAAGAATTGATGGAAGAGATCTAGGGTTGGTCGGGCACCGGCATCTTTGCAACGACAAATGAACCCCGCCATTGCCAGATAGGAGTTCGGCATAATCTGGGCCGGTACAACTTCGTAGAAATTGAAGAAAGAAATGAAAAAGGGGTGTAGCGGAAATCTAAGTCCATCCCTAATCGAGTCAAAGTGGACTGTGGTCATTCCGGGCCTATGACGCATTGGGTGAAGCCCGGCTTGCAAACGGAAATCCACTGGATCAGGGATAAGGGCCGGAATTTCGGCCCTATTGTGAGAAGTCAATTTTTGCCTCCTCTCCCTAATCAATTTTAGGTCAAGAGTATGGCGAGGAACATCGTTGGGACGTCCGGCCGCCATGGAGGCCAATTCGTCCTCAGATTTGGTGTCATCAGAATCCTCACTGGAGGAAGAAGAAGTGCTAGGGAGGTCCTCCGCCTCAGTCCTGGTATTCGTCGCCGTCTCGGTAGGAACACCGGCAAACGGAACTGGGATGGCATCTACCATGGCGGTGTCACGGTCATCCCCATGAGAGGCCATCTCCGAATCAGAAGAATGCTCTGTGAGGCTCATCTCGATCGAAGCCAGAAATGAAGATGGGGAATCCAAGGTTGGGAAGTTACCTGAGCAAGGGAAGCAGGGGGAAATTTGCAGAGGAAACAACGAAGGCCAAGGAATTGCAGAGTCGAAACCCGGAATTGAGGAATTAAGGGCTAATTTATAGCCTTGAAACCGCCGTGTCGAGAAGCAATCAGCGAGCGACACATCATTAGGGGCATTTAAACTAGACACGCGTCTAATGAAAAGACTAAACGACGGTTATCATGATGAATATGGGGAAATGAAGCGGCAGCCGTCAAATCGCAGCATGGGGAACTGATTACTTCTGTACCCCGATCGCCATTCGGGGTATTATGACATTGGTATACTTCCTGATGCACTCACTTCATTCGAGACATCGGAAGTGGGGGACTTGTGTTGGGATATTGACCTAGAGGCCCAATACCCAGATCGGGAAGGCCTAAGGTATCCGACCCAAGTAACAGGCCTATCACTCCATGATGAAAAGATCCAGTAAGGAGACATACCGAACGGGGTTCGGCCCAAATAAAGGTTGGCCCAATAAGAAGACATACCGAACGAGGTTCGGACTATATATCATACTTGGGCCAATTTGACAGCATCTTCAGTACGGACCAACATCCCGTTCGAGCAACGGCCAACCAGCAAGTGGCCAGGTGCAGTTAATGCCAGACTATGACATCGGCAAGTGGAAGCATGGATGACCAAGTCGGTGGAACAACGGCCAATCAGCAAGAGGCAGCCCATGCTCTCCATTAATATAAATAGAAGGTTTCAAGTCATTGTAAGGGTTAGCATTTCAATACTCAAGCTCTAGAATAGCATCATTTGCTCTTATTTCTTGTATTAAGGCATAGTTTCCGACTTATCGATCGGGAAATCCCTTGTAATCAGATTGGTTAATTAATACAAGTGAGCTTTCGAGTTTTAGTTAGTTCAGATCTTATATTTTCTCGTACACCTTGATTCTGGGCCATTCCTGATATATCCAAAGTTCGTGTTGGGCTTTCGGATCTACGGGACTTACCCTCAATAAGGTTGGTTTCCGGGTTTGGGTTTTGGGGTTTTGGGGGTTTGGGGGTTTTGGGGTTTCAGGTTTCGGGTTTGCGGGTTTCCGGTTTCGGGTTTGCGGGTTGCGGGTTTCGGGTTTTGCATTTCGGGTTTCGCGTTTTGGGTTTCCGGTTTTCGGTTGTGAGTTTCGGGTTCCGGTTTTCGAGTTTCGGGTTTCGGGTTTCGTGTTTAGGGTTTCGAGTTTGGGGTTTCGTGTTTGGGGTTTAGGGTTTGGGGTTTCGGGTTTCAGGGGTCGGGTTTCGGGTTTAGAGCTTCGGTTTTCGAGTTTCGGGTTTCGAGTTTCGGGTTTGAGGTTTGGGGTTCGGGGTTAGGGGTTTGGGGTTTTGGGTTTGGGGTTTGACGTTTTGGGTTGCGGGTTTCGGGTTTGGGGTTTGGGGTTTCACGTTTGGGGTTTGGAGTTTTGGGTTTCGGGTTTTGGTTTTCGGGTTTCGGGTTTGGGGTTTGGGGTTTCGGGTTTAGGGTTTCGGGTTTGGGGTTTCGGTTTTGGGTTTCGAGTTTGGGATTTGGGGTTTCTAGTTTCGAGTTTGGGGTTTGGGGTTTCGGGTTTTGGGTTTCGGGTTTCGGGTTTGGGATTTGGGTTTCGGGTTTTGGGTTTCAGGTTGGGTTTGGGGTTTGGGGTTTTGGGGTTTTGGGGTTAGGGGTTAAGGGTTTCGGGTTTGGGGTTTGGGGTTTGGGGTTTCAGGTTTGGGGTTGGGGTTTCGGTTCTCGGGTTTTGGGTTTCAGGTTTCGGGTTTTGAGTTTCGGTTTTTGAGTTTCGGGTTTCGGGTTTGGGGTTCGGGGTTCGGGGTTTCGGGTTTAGGTTTGAGATTTCGGGTTGCGGGATACGGGTTTGGGGTTTCGTGTTTGGGATTTGGAGTTTTGGGTTTCGGGTTTCGAGGTTTCGGGTTTCAGGTTTGGGGTTTCAGGTTTAGGGTTTCGGGTTTCGGGTTTCGGTTTCGGGTTTCGGGTTTCGGGTTTGGGATTTGGGGTTTTGGGTTTCGAGTTTCGGGTTTGGGGTTTCAGGTTTCGAGTTTCGGGTTTAGGTTTGGGGTTTGGGGTTTGGGGTTTCGAGTTTTGGATTTGGAGTTTCGGGTTTAGGTTTGGGGTTTGCGGGTTTGGGGTTTCGGGTTTAGGGTTTGGGGTTTGGGGTTTCGGATTTCGGGTTTGGGGTTTGGGGTTTGGGGCTTCGGGTTTCAGGTTTCAGGTTTCTGGTTTCGGGTTTCTAGTTTCGGGTTTGGGGTTTCGGTTTTCGGGTTTCAGGTTTCAGGTTTGCGGGTTGCGGGTTTCGGTTTCGCGTTTCGGGTTTCTGGTTTTGGGTAGGGTTTGGGGTTTCGGGTTTGGGGTTTCGAGTTTCGGGTTTCAAGTTTCGGGTTTCTGGTTTCAGATTAGGGGTTTCAGATTTCAGGTTTAGGGTTTTTGGTTTCGGGTTTACGGTTTGGGGTTTCGGGTTTGAGGTTTCGGGTTTCGAGTTTTGAGTTTTGGGTTTCGGGTTTCAGGTTTGGGGTTTGGGGTTTCGGGTTTAAGGTTTGGGGTTTCAGGTTTGGGTTTGGGGTTTGGATTCGGGGTTTGGGGTTTGGGGTTTGGGGTTTCGGGATTAGGGTTTGGGGTTTATGGTTTGGGGTTTGTGGTTTAGGTTTTGGGTTTCGGGTTTGGGGTTTGGGGTTTCGGGTTTGGGGTATGGGGTTTGGGGTTTCGAGTTTCGGGTTTCGAGTTTCGGGTTTCGTGTTTCGGGTTTCGGATTTCGGGTTCCGAGTTTGGGGTTTCGGGTTTGGGGTTTAGGGTTTTGAGTTTGGGGTTTCGGAATTCGGGTTTCGGGTTTGCGGGTTGGGGGTTTCGGGTTTTGGGTTTCGCGTTTCGGGTTTCGGGTTTCGAGTTTCGGGTTTCGGGTTTCGGGTTTCCGGATCCCAGTTGTGGATTCCGGGTTGCAGGTTTCGGGTTTGGGGTTTGGGGTTTCGGGTTTGGGGTTTGGGGTTTCGGGTTTGAGGTTTGATGTTTGGGGTTTGGGGTTTGGGTTATGGGGTTTGGGGATTGGGGTTTCAAATTTCGGGTTTTGGGTTTCGGGTTTGGGGTTTGATGTTTGGGGTTTGGGGTTTGGGTTATGGGGTTTGGGGATTGGGGTTTCAAATTTTGGGTTTGGGGTTTCGGGTTTCGGGTTTGGGGTTTCGGGTTTCGGGTTTCGGATTTCGGGTTTCGGGTTTTGGGTTTTGGGTTTTGGGTTTAGGGTTTCGGGGGGTTTCGGGTTTCAGGTTTCGAGTTGCGGGTTGCGGGTTTCGAGTTTCGGACTTCGATTTTCAGGTTTCGGGTTTTGGGTTTGGAGTTTGGGGTCTGGGGTTTCGGGTTTCAGGTTTGGGGTTTGGGGTTTCGGGTTTCGGGTTTGGGGTTTCGGCTTTCGGGTTTGGGGGTTTCGGGTTTGGGGTTTGGGGTTTGGGGTTTGGGGTTTCGGGTTCCGGGGTTCGAGTTTCGGTTTGCTGGTTTCGGGTTATGGGTTTCGGGATTCGGGTTTGGGGTTTTGGGTTTGGGGTTTCGGGTTTGGCGTTTCAGGTTAAGGGTTTGGGTTTCGTGTTTCGGGTTCCGGGTTTCAAGTTCGGGGTTCGGGTTTCAGGTTTCGAGGTTCGGGGTTCGGATTTCGGGTTTCAGGTTTGGGATTTGGGGTTTCGGGGTTCGGGTTTAGGGTTTTAGATTTCGGGTTTCGAGTTTGGGATTTGGGATTTCGGTTTTCGGGTTTAAGGTTGGGTTTGGGGTTTGGGGTTTGGGGTTAAGGGTCTGGGGTTTGGGGTTTGGGGTTTCAGATTTCGGGTTTGGGGTTTGTGGTTTCGGGTTTCGAGTTTCGGGTTTCGGGTTTCGAGTTTCGGGTTTCGGGTTGGGGTTTCGTTTTTCGGTTTTCGGGTTTCGGGTTTCAGGTTTCAGGTTTTGAGTTTCGGTTTTCGAGTTTCGGGTTTCAGCTTCGGGGTTTGGGGTTCGGAGTTTGGGGTTTCGGGTTTAGGTTTGAGGTTTCGGGTTGCGGGTTTCGAGTTTGGGGTTTCGCGTTTGGGGTTTGGAGTTTGGGGTTTCACGTTTGGGGTTTGGAGTTTTGGGTTTTAAGTTTTGAGTTTTGGGTTTTGGGTTTCAGTTTGGGGTTTGGGGTTTTGGGTGCGGGTTTTGAGTTTCAAGTTTCGGGTTTCGGATTTCGGGTTTAAGGTTTGGGGTTTCAGTGTCCGGGTTTGGGATTTTTTGGTGTTTGGGGTTTCGGGTTTGGGGTTTCGGGTTGGTTTCCGGGATTGGGGTTTGGGCATTGGGTTTCGGGTTTGGGGTTTGGGGTTTCGGGTTTGGGGTTTGAGGTTTCGAGTTGCGGGTTTCGGGTTTGTGGTTTCGCGTTTGGGATTTAGAGTTTTGGGTTTCGGGTTTCGGATTTTAGGTTTGGGGTTTCGGGTTTGGGGTTTTGGGTTTGGAGTTTGGAGTTTCGGGTATTGGGTTTGGGGTTTGATGTTTGGGGTTTCGAGTTTGGGGTTTCGGGTTTGGGTTATGGGGTTTGGGGATTAGGGTTTCGGATTTTGGGTTTGGGGTTTAAGGTTTGGGGTTTCTGGTTTCGGGTTTCGGGTTTGGGGTTTGGGGTTTGGGGTTTCGGGTTTCGGGTTTCGGGTTTTGGGTTTTGGGTTTCGGGTTTCAGGGGGGTTTGGGGTTTCGGGTTTCAGGTTTCGAGTTTGCGGGGTGCGGGTTTTGAGTTTCGGGTTTCGATTTTCAGGTTTCGGGTTTTGGGTTTGGAGTTTGGGGTTTGGGGTTTCGGGTTTCGGGTTTTGGTATTGGGGTTTGGGGTTTCGGGTTTCGGGTTTGGGGTTTGGGGTTTCGGGTTTCGTGTTTGGGGGTTTGGGGGTTTCGGGTTTGGGGTTTGGGGTTTCCGGTTCCGGGTTTCGGGGTTCGGGTTTTGGTTTGCTGGTTTCAGGTTATGGGTTTCGGGTTTCGGGTTTAGGGTTTTGGGTTTGGGGTTTCGGGTTTCGGGTTTCAGGTTTATGGTTTGGGTTTCGTGTTTCGGGTTTCGGGTGTCATGTTTGGGGTTTGGTGTTCGGGGTTCGGGGTTCGGGTTTCGGGGTTCGGATTTCTGGTTTCGGGTTTGGGATTTGGGGTTTCGGGTTTCGCGTTTGGGGTTTGGGGTTTGGGGTTTTAGGTTTCGGGTTTCGGGTTTCGGGTTTCGGGTTTGGGATTTGGGGTTTCGGGTTTCGGGTTTAAGGTTGGGTTTTGGGGTTTTAGGGTTTGGGGTTAAGGGTTTCGGGTTGGGGTTTGGGGTTTGGGGTTTAAGATTTCGGGTTTGGGGTTTGTGGTTTCGGGTTTCGAGTTTCGGGTTTCGGGTTAGGGTTTCGGTTTTCGGTTTTCGGGTTTCAGGTTTCGGGGTTCGGGATTCGGATTTCTGGTTTCGGGTTTTGGGTTTGGAGTTTCGGGTTTCGGGTTTGGGGTTTGGGGTTCGGGGTTTGGGGTTTCGGGTTTAGGTTTGAGGTTTCGGGTTGCGGGTTTCGGGTTTGGGGTTCGGGGTTTCGCGTTTGGGGTTTGGAGTTTGGGGTTTCGCGTTTGGGGTTTGGAGTTTTGGGTTTTGGGTTTGGAGTTTTGGGTTTCGGGTTTTGGGTTTCAGTTTGGGGTTTGGAGTTTTGAGTGCGAGTTTCGAGTTTCGAGTTTCGGGTTTTGGATTTCGGGTTTAAGGTTTGGGGTTTCAGGTTTCGGGTTTGGGATTTTTTGGGGTTTGGGGTTTCGGGTTTGGGGTTTCGGGTTGGTTTCCGGCTTTATGGTTTGGGCATTGGGTTTGGGGTTTGGGGTTTGGGGTTCGGGGTTTGGGGTTTCGGGTTTGAGGTTTGAGGTTTCGATTTGTGGGTTTCAGGTTTAGGGTTTCGGGTTTGGGATTTAGAGTTTTGGGTTTCGGATTTCGGATTTCAGGTTTGGGGTTTCAGGTTTGGGGTTTCGGGTTTCGGGTTTCGGGTATCGGTTTCAGGTTTCGTGTTTCGGGTTTGGGATTTTGGGTTTCGGGGTTTCGGATTTCGGGTTTTGGGTTTCGGGTTTCAGGTTTTGAGTTTCGGGTTTAGGTTTGGGGTTTGGGGTTTGGGTTTCGGGTTTCGAGTTTTGGGTTTGGGGTTTCGGGTTGGGGTTTGGGGTTTCGGGTTAGGGGTTTCAGGCGGGTTTGGGGTTTCGGGTTTAGGGTTTTGGGTTTCGCGTTTGGGGTTTGGAGTTTTGGGTTTTGGGTTTCGGGGTTGGGTTTGGGGTTTCGGGTTTGGGGTTTCGGGTTTTGGGTTTTGGTTTCGGGTTTCGGGTTTGGGATTTGGGGTTTCGGGTTTCGGGTTTGGGGTTTGGGGATTCGGGTTTTGGGTTTCGGGTTTCGGGTTTCGGGTTTGGGATTTGGGGTTTCAGATTTCGGGTTTCGGGTTGGGTTTGGGGTTTGGGGTTTGGGGTTTTGGAGTTAAGGGTTTCGGGTTTGGGGTTTGGGGTTTGGGGTTTCAGATTTCAGGTTTGGGGTTTGGGGTTTGGGGTTTGGGGTTTCGGGTTTCGAGTTTCGGGTTTCGGGTTAGGGTTTCGGTTTTCAAGGTTCGGGTTTCGGGTTTCCGGTTTCGGGTTTTGAGTTTCTTTTTTCGAGTTTCGGGTTTCGGGTTTTTGGGTTTGGGGTTCGGGGTTTGGGGTTTAGGTTTGAGGTTTCGGGTTGCGGTTTTCGGGTTTGGGGTTTCGCGTTTGGGGTTTAGAGTTTTGGGTTTCGGGTTTCGGATTTAAGGTTTGGGGTTTCAGGTTTGGGATTTCGGGTTTCGGGTTTCGGGTTTCGGTTTTGGGTTTGGGGTTCGGGGTTTGGGGTTTAGGTTTGAGGTTTCAGGTTGCAGGTTTCGGGTTTAGGGTTTCGTGTTTGGGGTTTAAAGTTTTGGGTTTCGGGTTTCGGGTTTCGGATTTCAGGTTTGGGGTTTCAGGTTTGGGGTTTCGGGTTTCAGGTTTCGGGTTTCGGTTTCGGGTTTGGGATTTGGGGTTTCGGGTTTCGGGTTTGGGGTTTCAGGTTTCGAGTTTCGGGTTTAGGTTTGGGGTTTGGGGTTTTCGGTTTCGAGTTTTGGGTTTGGGGTTTCGGGTTTCGGGTTGGGGTTTCGGGTTTCGGGTTTCCGGCGGGTTTGGGGTTTCGGGTTTAGGGTTTGAGGTTTGGGGTTTCGGATTTCGGGTTTGGGGTTTGGGGCTTCGGGTTTTGGGTTTCAGGATTCTGGTTTCAGGTTTCTTGTTTCGGTTTCGGGTTTGGGGTTTGTGGTTTGCGGGTTGCGGGTTTCGGGTTACGGTTTCGCGTTTCGGGTTTCTGGTTTTTGGGGTTTGGGGTTTCAGGTTTCGGGTTTGGGGTTTCGGATTTAAGGTTTGGGGTTTCAGGTTTCGAGTTTGGGTTTGGGGTTTGGGTTTGGGGTTTGGGGTAAGAGATTATCTAAAGCAAGAATGTGCCAAGTCCTAAAATTCGGTATGAAGCCCAAACGGCTGAGTACCAGGGGGAAGGGGTTTTTTCCTTAAGTAAATTATCAGAACTTTCTAATGCCCGAACGGCGATCAACGGCGTTAGGATTATTTGAGCAAGAAATAAGTTTGGAAATTGGTTAAGTCCTACGAAACAGGTCGAATTCCGAATGGCGAGTAAATCATGCATTAAAGACAGAAAAGAGATATATATTCATCGGCTCTACTGACCGGGAAATACAGTTAAGGTTTTTTGTAAAGAAAGAACAAAAAGGGGTTACAGTTACTAAGATACTACTCTATTGCCCTGCCCCATTGTCTTCTTCATCACCCTCCTCATCCGAATCAGTAAGGGGATCAGGCTCCTTTCCCGCCTCCCGATCAGCAGCCCGTTGTAAGTTTCTTTGATATTTCTCATATTGAGCTTCGACTATGGGCGCCTGAGGGAGATCAGTAAGCTCGACCGGCCTCCCTAGCAATTTTTGGAATTTGGCGATAAAGGGAGTCATGATGTGCTGACAGCCCATGACGTACAGAGATCGAGCCAGGGAATCATTAAATTTTTTCCCCCTGGGGTCCTGATCGAGCAATTTGACCCCCTCGCTCCGACGGGCGTCACCCGTGGAAAAATGATCAAGATAATCACCAAAGGTGACTGGGAGTTGCTGCTGTGCGAAATCTTTCTTCAAAATAGCAAACTCTTCAGACCCTTTAAATGACTCCCGAACGGCGGACAGGTCAACCTGTATTTCAGCAAGGCCGTCCGGGATGCGAGGGGCATGCTCTTCGAATTTAACCAAGGCAGCTTCTGCAGCATGGACCTTGGACTGAGAAACTCCGAGTTGAACCCGAAGCTCGCCAAGCTCCGATTCAAGACGTTTCTTCTCCTCAGTATGGGCTTCCGCTCGGCCTCCAGGGCAGCAAAAGCAGCTGCTGCATTCTGCTCCGCGGAACTCTGAGCAACGATCAGCTCCCGCTCCTTGGCCAACCGAGCTTCCTTCAGCTGCAGGCTATAAAGCCCAACCTGCGGAATGACATTCAGGGAATGAAATGGGGAAGAGAAATTGTAGATTAAGAAAGATTTAAACTATGGAATGGCAAGATACCTTCAGAGCTGCCAAGGCAAGGCATTCCTCGGACTGCTCGATCGATAACTTAGGGACGGTGAAATTGTTGAAGAAGGCGGAGGTAGACCAGATCTGACTTGCCGAACAGTCACCTCTTTCCACAACATCATGAACCGGATCCGCCAGGGAAATCCGGTCAACCTGGCCAGATAACTGAACGGTGGGTGTTTCACCCGTACCCTGGCCGGCTTCCGGAGCAGCTTGAAAATGCTCGGAAAATTGCTACAGTTGATCAGAGCCAAACCGATCATCGACCAGCATGGCATCGAATTGATCTTGATGGACCTGCTGTATCGGCTGTGGCTCTGGAAGCGGTTGAGAAGACCCAGCATCCTGGGCAGGAACAGTAGAGGGAGTAGGTTGGGGGTTCTTCCTGGCCTTTTTTCGCTTACCGACCCCACCAGCTGCCATAACTCTGCTGTTGTCCATAGGTAGATCTGGGTTTGGTGCTGAAAAAAGACAAAAGGACAATGTTAGTATCGAGCGACCTTAGCGTGTGAGAAACTAGAAAAAAGAACAAAAGAACGTTTCTCGCACGGGAAGGACCGCCCGGACCATGGCACTTGGTTTCTCAAAACAAGTAAACTCAAGAGAACGGGCAGTACCTATCCCGGCTGTAATAAGTCGTTCAGGAGTCAGATAACTTATGATGTCCATGCATTTATCCTTCTCCACGGCAAGTACGTCCTTGTAAATTTCTTCAGTAAGGATAGGATCAGGAGTCTTGCGAGGGAAGGCATTCCATATGCGGGGAATTAGGCCGTCCGGGACAGACACGAAGAAAAAACGGTCTTTCCACCCTTTAATTGAAGTTGGATTTCCTTTAAACAGGATGTGTCCCGTTCGGGCACTGGTGGCCAGATAACCGTGGGTTTGTTGGGGGGCTACTTTGAAGAATTGATGGAAGAGATCTAGTGTTGGTCGGGCACCGGCATCTTTGCAACGACAAATGAACCCCGCCATTGCCAGATAGGAGTTCGGCATAATCTGGGCCGGTACAACTTCGTAGAAATTGAAGAAAGAAATGAAAAAGTGGTGTAGCGGAAATCTAAGTCCAGCCCTAATCGAGTCAAAGTGGACTGTGGTCATTCCGGGCCTATGACGCATTGGGTGAAGCCCGGCTTGCAAACGGAAATCCACCGGATCAGGGATAAGGGCCGGAATTTCGGCCCTATTGTGAGAAGTCAATTTTTGCCTCCTCTCCCTAATCAATTTTAGGTCAAGAGTATGGCGAGGAACATCGTTGGGACGTCCGGCCGCCATGGAGGCCAATTCGTCCTCAGATTTGGTGTCATCAGAATCCTCACTGGAGGAAGAAGAAGTGCTAGGGAGGTCCTCCGCCTCAGTCCTGGTATTCGTCGCCGTCTCGGTAGGAACACCGGCAAACGGAACTGGGATGGCATCTACCATGGCGGTGTCACGGTCATCCCCATGAGAGGCCATCTCCGAATCAGAAGAATGCTCTGTGAGGCTCATCTCGATCGAAGCCAGAAATGAAGATGGGGAATCCAAGGTTGGGAAGTTACCTGAGCAAGGGAAGCAGGGGGAAATTTGCAGAGGAAACAACGAAGGCCAAGGAATTGCAGAGTCGAAACCCGGAATTGAGGAATTAAGGGCTAATTTATAGCCTTGAAACCGCCGTGTCGAGAACCAATCAGCGAGCGACACATCACTAGGGGCATTTAAACTAGACACGCGTCTAATGAAAAGACTAAACGACGGTTATCATGATGAATATGGGGAAATGAAGCGGCAGCCGTCAAATCGCAGCATGGGGAACTGATTACTTCTGTACCCCGATCGCCATTCGGGGTATTATGACATTGGTATACTTCCTGATGCACTCACTTCGTTCGAGACATCGGAAGTGGGGGACTTGTGTTGAGATATTGACCTAGAGGCCCAATACCCAGATCGGGAAGGCCCAAGGTATCCGGCCCAAGTAACAGGCCTATCACTCCATGATGAAAAGATCCAGTAAGGAGACATACCGAACGGGGTTCGGCCCAAATAAAGGTTGGCCCAATAAGAAGACATACCGAACGAGGTTCGGACTATGACAAGTGGCCAACCAGCAAGTGGCCAGGTGCAGTTAATGCCAGACTATGACATCGGCAAGTGGAAGCATGGATGACCAAGTCGGTGGAACAACGGCCAATCAGCAAGAGGCAGCTCATGCTCTCCATTAATATAAATAGAAGGTTTCAAGTCATTGTAAGGGTTAGCATTTCAATACTCAAGCTCTAGAATAGCATCATTTGCTCTTATTTCTTGTATTAAGGCATAGTTTCCGACTTATCGATCGGGAAATCCCTTGTAATCAGATTGGTTAATTAATACAAGTGAGCTTTCGGGTTTTAGTTAGTTCAGATCTTATATTTTCTCGTACACCTTGATTCTAGGCCATTCCTGATATATCCAAAGTTCGTGTTGGGCTTTCGGATCTACGGGACTTACCCTCAATAAGGTTGGTTTCCGGGTTTGGGTTTTGGGGTTTTGGGGGTTTGGGGGTTTTGGGGTTTCAGGTTTCGGGTTTGCGGGTTTCCGGTTTCGGGTTTGCGGGTTGCGGGTTTTGGGTTTTGCATTTCGGGTTTCGCGTTTTGGGTTTCCGGTTTTCGGTTGTGAGTTTCGGGTTCCGGTTTTCGAGTTTCGGGTTTCGGGTTTCGTGTTTAAGGTTTCGAGTTTGGGGTTTCGTGTTTGGGGTTTAGGGTTTGGGGTTTCGGGTTTCAGGGGTCGGGTTTCGGGTTTAGAGCTTCAGTTTTCGAGTTTCGGGTTTCGAGTTTCGGGTTTGAGGTTTGGGGTTCGGGGTTAGGGGTTTGGGGTTTTGGGTTTGGGGTTTGACGTTTTGGGTTGCGGGTTTCGGGTTTGGGGTTTGGGGTTTCACGTTTGGGGTTTGGAGTTTTGGGTTTCGGGTTTTGGGTTTCGGGTTTCGGGTTTGGGGTTTGGGGTTTCGGGTTTAGGGTTTCGGGTTTGGGGTTTCGGTTTTGGGTTTCGAGTTTGGGATTTGGGGTTTCGAGTTTCGGGTTTGGGGTTTGGGGTTTCGGGTTTTGGGTTTCGGGTTTCGGGTTTGGGATTTGGGTTTCGGGTTTTGGGTTTTGGGTTGGGTTTGGGGTTTGGGGTTTTGGGGTTTGGGGTTAAGGGTTTCGGGTTTGGGGTTTGGGGTTTGGGGTTTCAGGTTTGGGGTTGGGGTTTCGGTTCTCGGGTTTTGGGTTTCAGGTTTCGGGTTTTAAGTTTCGGTTTTTGAGTTTCGGGTTTCGGGTTTGGGGTTCGGGGTTTGGGGTTTCGGGTTTAGGTTTGAGATTTCGGGTTGCGGGTTACGGGTTTGGGGTTTCGTGTTTGGGATTTGGAGTTTTGGGTTTCGGGTTTCGAGGTTTGGGGTTTCAGGTTTGGGGTTTCAGGTTTGGGGTTTCAGGTTTCGGGTTTCGGTTTCGGGTTTCGGGTTTCGGGTTTGGGATTTGGGGTTTTGGGTTTCGAGTTTCGGGTTTGGGGTTTCAGGTTTCGAGTTTCGGGTTTAGGTTTGGGGTTTGGGGTTTGGGGTTTCGAGTTTTGGATTTGGAGTTTCGGATTTCCGGTAGGATTTGGGGTTTACGGTTTGGGGTTTCGGGTTTGAGGTTTCGGGTTTCGAGTTTTGAGTTTTGGGTTTCGGGTTTCAGGTTTTGGGTTTGGGGTTTCGGGTTTAAGGTTTGGGGTTTCAGGTTTGGGTTTGGGGTTTGGATTTTGGGTTTGGGGTTTGGGGTTTGGGGTTTGGGGTTTCGGGATTAGGGTTTGGGGTTTATGGTTTGGGGTTTGTGGTTTAGGTTTTGGGTTTCGGGTTTGGGGTTTGGGGTTTCGGGTTTGGGGTATGGGGTTTGGGGTTTCGAGTTTCGGGTTTCGAGTTTGGGGTTTCGTGTTTCGGGTTTCGGATTTCGGGTTCCGAGTTTGGGGTTTCGGATTTGGGGTTTAGGGTTTTGGGTTTGGGGTTTCGGAATTCGGGTTTCGGGTTTGCGGGTTGGGGGTTTCGGGTTTTGGGTTTCGCGTTTCGGGTTTCGGGTTTCGAGTTTCGGGTTTCGGGTTTCGGGTTTCAAGATCCCAGTTGTGGATTCCGGGTTGCAGGTTTCGGGTTTGGGGTTTGGGGTTTCGGGTTTGGGGTTTGGGGTTTCGGGTTTGAGGTTTGGGGTTTCGGGTTTGGGGTTTTGGGTTTGGAGTTTGGGGTTTGGGGTTTCGGGTTTCGGGTTTTGGGTTTCGGGTTTGGGGTTTGATGTTTGGGGTTTGGGGTTTGGGTTATGGGGTTTGGGGATTGGGGTTTCAAATTTTGGGTTTGGGGTTTCGGGTTTCGGGTTTCGGGTTTGGGGTTTCGGGTTTCGGGTTTCGGATTTCGGGTTTCGGGTTTCGGGTTTTGGGTTTAGGGTTTCGGGGGGTTTCGGGTTTCAGGTTTCGAGTTGCGGGTTGCGGGTTTCGAGTTTCGGACTTCGATTTTCAGGTTTCGGGTTTTGGGTTTGGAGTTTGGGGTCTGGGGTTTCGGGTTTCGGGTTTCGGGTTTGGGGTTTCGGGTTTCGGGTTTGGGGTTTCGGGTTTCGGGTTTGGGGGTTTCGGGTTTGGGGTTTGGGGTTTGGGGTTTGGGGTTTCGGGTTCCGGGTTTCGGGGTTCGGGTTTCGGTTTGCTGGTTTCGGGTTATGGGTTTCGGGATTCGGGTTTTGGGTTTTGGGTTTGGGGTTTCGGGTTTGGCGTTTCAGGTTAAGGGTTTGGGTTTCGTGTTTCGGGTTCCGGGTTTCAAGTTCGGGGTTCGGGTTTCGGGTTTCGAGGTTCGGGGTTCGGATTTCGGGTTTCAGGTTTGGGATTTGGGGTTTCGGGGTTCGGGTTTGGGGTTTTAGATTTCGGGTTTCGAGTTTGGGATTTGGGATTTCGGTTTTCGGGTTTAAGGTTGGGTTTGGGGTTTGGGGTTTGGGGTTTGGGGTCTGGGGTTTGGGGTTTGGGGTTTCAGATTTCGGGTTTGGGGTTTGTGGTTTCGGGTTTCGAGTTTCGAGTTTCGGGTTTCGGGTTTCGAGTTTCGGGTTTCGGGTTGGGGTTTCGTTTTTCGGTTTTCGGGTTTCGGGTTTCAGGTTTCAGGTTTTGAGTTTCGGTTTTCGAGTTTCGGGTTTCAGCTTCGGGGTTTGGGGTTCGGAGTTTGGGGTTTCGGGTTTAGGTTTGAGGTTTCGGGTTGCGGGTTTCGAGTTTGGGGTTTCGCGTTTGGGGTTTGGAGTTTGGGGTTTCACGTTTGGGGTTTGGAGTTTTGGGTTTTGGGTTTTGAGTTTTGGGTTTTGGGTTTCAGTTTGGGGTTTGGGGTTTTGGGTGCGGGTTTTGAGTTTCAAGTTTCGGGTTTCGGATTTCGGGTTTAAGGTTTGGGGTTTCAGTGTCCGGGTTTGGGATTTTTTGGTGTTTGGGGTTTCGGGTTTGGGGTTTCGGGTTGGTTTCCGGGATTGGGGTTTGGGCATTGGGTTTGGGGTTTGGGGTTTGGGGTTTCGGGTTTGGGGTTTGAGGTTTCGAGTTGCGGGTTTCGGGTTTGTGGTTTCGCGTTTGGGATTTAGAGTTTTGGGTTTCGGGTTTCGGATTTCAGGTTTGGGGTTTCGGGTTTGGGGTTTTGGGTTTGGAGTTTGGAGTTTCGGATATTGGGTTTGGGGATTGATGTTTGGGGTTTCGAGTTTGGGGTTTCGGGTTTGGGTTATGGGGTTTGGGGATTAGGGTTTCGGATTTTGGGTTTGGGGTTTAAGGTTTGGGGTTTGGGGTTTCGGGTTTGGGGTTTGGGGTTTGGGGTTTCGGGTTTCGGGTTTCGGGTTTTGGGTTTTGGGTTTCGGGTTTCAGGGGGGTTTGGGGTTTCGGGTTTCAGGTTTCGAGTTTGCGGGGTGCGGGTTTTGAGTTTCGGGTTTCGATTTTCAGGTTTCGGGTTTTGGGTTTGGAGTTTGGGGTTTGGGGTTTGGGGTTTCGGGTTTCGGGTTTTGGTATTGGGGTTTGGGGTTTCGGGTTTCGGGTTTGGGGTTTGGGGTGTGGGGTTTCGGGTTTCGTGTTTGGGGGTTTGGGGGTTTCGGGTTTGGGGTTTGGGGTTTCCGGTTCCGGGTTTCGGGGTTCGGGTTTCGGTTTGCTGGTTTCAGGTTATGGGTTTCGAGTTTCGGGTTTGGGGTTTTGGTTTTGGGGTTTCGGGTTTCGGGTTTCAGGTTTATGGTTTGGGTTTCGTGTTTCGGGTTTCGGGTGTCATGTTTGGGGTTTGGTGTTCGGGGTTCGGGGTTTCGGGGTTCGGATTTCTGGTTTCGGGTTTGGGATTTGGGGTTTCGGGTTTCGCGTTTGGGGTTTGGGGTTTGGGGTTTTAGGTTTCGGGTTTCGGGTTTCGGGTTTGGGATTTGGGGTTTCGGGTTTCGGGTTTAAGGTTGGGTTTTGGGGTTTTGGGGTTTGGGGTTAAGGGTTTCG